AAAAAAGACAAATTTCACGTAACGTTTTACGCAACTTTTTGGAAGTTTTACCTATCTAGCTTTTTGTTGCTTTGTGTAAAAAGCTCCTTTCGATTCTGTCAGTCTAATTCTTGAGTGACTAAAATAAAGCAAAATGACTCATTTTTGGAGTAAAACTAACACCATAATTATTCTGGTGAACTTCTGAGCAAATTCTGCTCTGTTCATTTTTTTTGTCTCACTTCAATCCAAATTCAGAAAAAAGCGTTTTATGTCTCAAATTTTAATCGTTTTGTCCGGAGAATTTAAATCAGCATCTGTTAACTTGAACACATGTTGTTGCACCCTCAAAAAACTGTAATCTACAGAGTTTGTAAAAATCTACTCATATCTACAGTAATAGCACGCAAAATCTGTTATAATCCCAGAGGCGAAGATGCACTTCGTACACCATCAAAGAAGCGGCAGAGCTCCAAAATGGCTCTAAGAAAATAAAAAGACAAAAATGAAATTCAAAACAACCTGATTCTCCGGTATTCGAAAAAGGGCCCTTTGGACTGACGAAAACCTTGCATTCTTCACTTATTCATGGCACCTTGCCTTAAACTATTCTCACTCATACTTTATTCCTAGATATCCGGCAGCAAAGAATGCGTAGAACACGGGCCTCAGGGTTAAATCTTCAACTGGCTAATTAAAGCATTAACATGTCTTGCTTTAAAAAAAAGAGGACTGACCTCAGAACACTACACTTGTAAGCTGACTAGCGTTATTAGCACGAAAAAGATCAGCTTCGTGGCTCATTTATTAATGAGCTTGCACTCTTATGTACTTTTAAGCATCGAAAGCAGTAAGTGTAGCACAAAAGGGCGTCTACGCTTCTGTTGAGTTAATGTCAAACTGCTCAACCGGTATGTTAACTTCATTTTTTTCCTAAAGCCTCAGCGAGAAAGCACTATTGTTCCAATTTTCGATACGAAAGTAACGGAATATTTGTGCTCGGGGTCGTTTTCTTTTCTTCAGACAACTATTGATTTTTAACTACCATTTTTGACGGGATTTTTCAATATATCATTCAAAAGGTATTGTTGACCTGAGATTAAATTTGAAAAGATATTTTACCTATGTTATTTCGCGCTAGTAACGTGTAAGCGGAGATAGTAATGTTATTACTGCTCCATAAACCTTAAAAGGCAGTCGGAACACTCAGTGCTTTGCCCTGATACGAGCAGTCTTGTTTTGTCAAAAAACTTAGTCGTATTGTCACAAATGAAGTGCGGTCAGTATTTAGACAACCGCGCATTCATACTTGTCAGTAAGCAGCCAAATACTACCAATCAGAATTGAGTTGAGAAAGCAATCTTACGAAATAAATAATAATCAATAATTAATTTCTTCCTTCCGTCTCTATTCTGATTGGTTAATATAGTATATGTCTGCTTACGAACGAGTATCAATACGCGGTTGTCTAAATACTGCAACGTAACCGTCACAAATCAACCTCTCCTAATCTTCGCGCTGCTAGTTCGAAGCCCCTATGAACTAAAATTTGATTGGAAAGGGTCTACATATTCTTAAAACCAATAACTATTTAACAGCATCTGCTTTTCCTAATCCTTCGCGATCATTGAAAAGAAAGTGACTCAAAGATTAAATTAAATTGAAAGAGGGAGAAATCACTGGTGAAGCTGGGTTCACATTTATTAAATGGCTAATTCGGTTGATTGAAAAATATTCGGATTCAACTACAAATTCGTGTGAATTGATTGATTAATTGTATTAACGACACAAAGGTCTACTTCAATTCTATCACTGTTAGCTTCGCTTCAAACGACTTAAAAAAAGCCAAATTCAAAAAATTCTGAAAAGCGTTGTCAAAAATTTGAATCGAAATATAAATTTCTTTATTTTTGTGCATTTTTGAAAGTAAAATTAAATGATCCCTTTTGAACCAAATTCCGTCCACACTGGGCAATTTTTTTCGACTAAATACTTCTGTAACTTCATAAAACTACGGGAACTTTTTGATTACGAGACTTTCTGAAATTGGCAGAGTATCACAATCTAATCAATAATTGGGAGTGCTACAACAGCAAATGGCATATAACTGCATGGCGCTGATTGCGACAGAAGAAGGGATGAAAGAATTGAAATGCAGGTGGCTATAATATAGATCAAAGGTGCACAAGAAGAATATACGTTGGACAGCAGCAGCATAGGTTATCAGTTAATTAATAAATTAATCACTTATCCAAGATAATCACAGAAATATACTTCGGTACGCTAATACAACTTTCAAAAATATATTTATAGATCACAAAGTTATCAATTATCTCGTCTATAATTTATATTTTGTATGAAATTTAACATTTTAATAAAACCGAATTTCAAATTTTGATCTGAATAGATATTGCGCCTGCGCTTTGAACATTTCGATACCTCCAACATCAAACCAGGTTCTTGGCGCAAAGTTTTATTGGACCGAAAGGCACTCTGGTTTTTCACAACTCCAGGTGTTTTTTATGCAAATTTGTAAATTTAATACAAATAAGTAGGGTTAGTTAGCTTGTGTAAGTAGTGTAAGCTCTGTAAGCAGCACGAAGCACGATTAAAATTTAATCGCAAGAACTGAAAACAGAATACAATCCATTAAATAGACATTGTTACATTAAGTAGAAGAATTTTTCAATTTGACAAAAAGAAGTTTGAGTTTTCCAAAAGGAATTGAAGTTTTTCAAATGACCGGGCCGACTTGTTTTTCTTAACATCATTAAAATCAGGGTGGCGGTAACTCAAAGAACTATTTTCTTTGAATAAAGAGGTAAGGATATCATTGACTTCAAATGAATTCGTTTTCGTTGAGCAGTTAGGTTGTATTGAGCAAGCTCGTTTTGTGTTAGAACTTTGTGGTGTCAAATCTGATTTTACTTCTAGGGGGTCAAGTGGGTTCAAACTTCACACTGGTCTTCATCATCGTCTTCAATATCTTTGAAGACCTCGGTGTTGGTGTGCATAAACTTGTGCACGTTTCTACCACCAGCAGTAGCAGCTGAATTCGGACCCCCACTGATGCTAGCCTTTCGCTCAGCAGCTGCCGCGGTGCCACCAGGGTTAGCCTCCTTCCAAGTGTCCACTACTCGTATCTAAACAAGATTTTGTTCACTATTTTCTGAAAAAACTTCAGGTATTTTTACTCGCAACGTGCCACCATAAAAAGAGGAAAAGTTTGGTTCGCTTCACTTTTGACACTTCGGGAAACAAACAAAAAACTTAAATTTCAAAGTTTGTAGTTTGTAATAGCTGGAGTAGGAATCACCAAAAATTTCAAGTTTAGATCAATTAATAACATTTTGAGCAGCACTTTTTAGGCACGATTTTCAAAAATTTAAAAGACCAAGGCATATTAAAAAAAACACAGCCAACTAGCAGTTGGAAAAGAGTAATGAACGCAAGGAAACTGAAAAAAACGGCCTTGTTTTTTCAAGAGCCTTCAACTTTTAAATTTCGAAGAAAAAAATAGATGGCCTTAAAGCTCTTTGAATTTGTAGAACAATTTATGGTGCACACTTTTTTGTTAAAACTAACCCCACTTGAGAAAACTGGATCAATACGTAAAACTTTAATTTTGCCTCGAAATCTGATACTTAATTTCCATTTTCGAAATCAGAAGTCGATCACAATTTTCGTAACCTTTACAATTTTCCTGTTCGATAGTGGAGTTTGCCTAGCTTTTAACAATAAATGCACTGAATTTAAAAAGAAATCACAAGTCAAACTGCGAAAAATTTTAAAACTTTAACCTTGCAAAAACAACGACAATAAAAAAATCAGCACGACCTATATTAGCGTACGTTCATTACTCTTAACAGGGGTCAATCATAACAAACAAAGACCTTCTTTATAGACATTTTACAAAGAAAAGAAACCCTGCGTAAGCTGATAGGAGATGCGATAAATACTGACGTACAACCCTGCAATAGTCATCTAAAAACAAAACCCGGATGCCAATGATGAAAGGAAAAAAAAAAACTAGTGACCCAGGCGACCAAGCTTGTAAAAATACTATAGGCTTGAAAAAGGGGGAAATAGGAGTACAAAAAATCTGGAGTACAGTAACAAGGGGTGATTTTTTTAACGACAAAATATCATTCAACACCAAATGAATCAAGGGCAGATTTTCCAAGAATATACTTCCTCAAACACACCCTTGCGAAACTTTCACCATCAATATAGCCTCAGACAATCTCATCAAAACAAAAAGGTAAAGCATGATATAGAAACACTGGGACCGTACGCGGGTGCTAGGAAAGAAATATCGGGTGAACGAACACAAGTGATTGAGATAAGTTGTCGATACAGACAAATTGGTTTATAACTGATTCGTTCGGTGCGATTCCTGTGAAAGCCTTCACAGCACATGGCATCTGGATGGATCTGACATATGACCCTTTTGCGGTAGTTCAAACTTCCTGAGGACAAACTTTAGTATTTGATTGTACAAAAAAGCATCAAGGACACGTGACATGAACACTGAACAACATAAGGATCGGATAAGTGATGCCGTGAAATGTTTGGGTGACATTGACGATCAACATTTGGGGTTTATTTTAATTCCCTTGAAGGCAAAAGAGACGTCGACGTTACGGATAAAAGCAGGTATTCGTTGACTCGTTACCTCTCCTTTGTTTACTTTTCCGCTACTACTGCTTGCATGTGCGTTCCTCAATTTAAGGGCCATAGCAGCCTTAGCAGCCGGGGATGACGGCTGTGCCTGGAACCTGTATCTTTCGTATCTCCATTTTGCTTCTTTCTTTTTGATGATTCCGTCGTGGAAGTTATCCCAGAACGCATCCGCAACCTCCATCTACCAAGTCACGTAATATTAGTTCAAGGTCATATTGGAACACGTTGCTTTTCGAATTACAGACTTATTACTTTGTCACTTTGGGGTGCGTTCGACAACTGATGATTTTAAAAATGATAATTCTTATACGAAACCTGGTCCACGGCTAATTGACAGATTTCAAAAATAACAAATCAATTCAATTTGTCCGGAGACAGAAATCACAAGCTAAAATTAAAGGTATAGAAACATAGTTTAGTTTACATAATATCTGTATCTTTTTTCGGTATACTAATGCAAATTTAGATTCAGATTAAATCTCTTAATATAGAATTTTTCAGTCAGTAAAATGCTACTTTTCATTAACAATTTAAGGAATATTTGGTGGAGGTGCAATAATTAAAACGGCACTTACTCCGTTTACACTGTACAATTAAATCAAAATAGCGAGCTAACTGCGATTGCTCCATTTAATTTGAATGAGTCGTGAGGCATGAAAGAAACTCTTGAAAAAAAAAAAACAATTCATTCGCTTAACTTTTAATAAAATTACGATCTTAGAAAATAAATTTTCATCAGATGCATTTTTTGAGGCGCTATAAAACTGGAAATTCATTTGGAAAAGCAATTTGTAGGAACACAAGTTAGTCGAGAAATGAAGGATAGATCTAAGTTCAATTTAGTTCATATATGGTTGGGACACAAATGGAATGTTGCACGAAATACTCCATGAAAACATCCGATAATGAAGTAATTCACGCGGCCCTTTTTTCAGGTTCGACCATATCACATGACTTCGTTTGTAAGTGAACCGCAACTTTAAAGACAGGATTTTCATTTATTCATTTTGCTCTTCTTCAAAATAATTTCTTTTTTCATTGAAAGTTTTCATGAACGGAATTATTTGTCATGATAATTGCAGAATTAGCTTTCCTGATATATATTTAGTTTTTATCGAAGGTTTCCACGAAAAGGAATTATTAATCATGATAGTTAAAGAATTAGGTTTTCCTGATATAGATCTCGTTTTTATCGAAATCTTTCACGAAAAGGAATTATTTATTAGTCATGGTTGGTCAACATATTAGAAACCTAAACAAGTGGCAACTTATATCGAAACGACCCCGAAACAACGACTAGTCAACAATAACAATATTTTTATTGATTGTTCAAGATCTATGTAAATCGAATACAACCCTTCGGATGCCTAACAACAGTATTCATCCATCGTTTCAATGCTGCTTGAAAATTTTCATACACAGAGGCAAGTTGCACTTCGCATACACAAGCAAAAATATGACCGATAACTCTACTGGCAAAAACTGAATGAGTAAAACTTTGAGTTTATAAAATTTCATAAGTGACGCTCGCCAATTATGAGTCTGCATAATTGCTGAGTGACGCAAGCCAATTATGACGCATTAGCAGTCAATATGAAAAAAAAATTTACCAACTAACATGCCTCGGCTCTTTTCCAGTCCCCCCCTTTCGAATTCAATTTTGAAAAGCTTATTTAACGTTGTCATAATGCAATGAAATTTGGCGAGGTGACCAAACCGACAACTGTGAACAGATTTGTTCTTCATACTTTACAGCGTAGCATCACACATTAAGCCGTAAACACACGTACAACAAACATAAAACTCGGTATTTTGAAAGGAGCCCATGCCTCATATTATAGAGCGGACGCATTTTAACTAGTATACGAAGTTCACGAAAAAAACATCCGACAATGCCAGGTTCGAAACCTCTTATTTTGCTGCTGGTCTCATTCCCTACCTCTACGCTACAGATCCATGATTCCTTGAAGCTAAAGTGCTATTTGTAATATAATAGTCTGTGTTAATATCCATAGCATTGGCTGTACTTAATAGCTGGATCAAAATGAACACTTCTAAAATGAACAAATTTCGTCGCAACAATTCCATCGCAACAATATTTTCAACTTAGATTGGAAAAAAAGAAAGTTCATACTTATAACACAAGCTATGCTTGTGTAAAAACTAATTCAATTAGAGAGAACTTTGTCAATAGATACCTTTTTTTATTTAGCTGGTAATTCTAAACATTAAAGTCCCTTTTTTGAAACTAAAAGTCAACCACATTTATATTGCGTCATTTGCGCTGAAAACAACTTTGAGGCGCTGAATGCTTGGCTCATGCATCTAAGTCTAGGGGTAATCGAAGTGAGGAAATGGGGGGGGGGGTTTCAATTTGTCAATTGAAACAAACGCAGCAAATTGGACAGCCATTCGATAATTCAATTATTCGGTTGCCACCTGTTATAAGTCGCCAAAACATAATGCCACCATAAACAAAAATTCTGTATAGCAGCAGCAATGAAAATGATTGCACTAATTCCCAAAGCCAAGCTATGAAGACGAAGGAATCATTTTAAACCGTAAGCAGTAAATGATCAAGTAGCGAAATCAATAAAATTTAACGGATTTAAACCATGAGATTTGATGCGTTAGCTGGTTGGTCTAACTTAGATGAGCGATTTGTTTATGTGCAAATTGGGCATTAAGCAGGTCGTGACCAGCATTGGGGGTTTCCTGACAGAAAATATTCAAATTGAGTTTCTCGAACGCCACATTTACAGTTCATTCTTCTCGATACAATTAGTCTAATATTGTGCTATTGTTTTCTCGTTGCAAATGATGTCTATTTTTTGCTACTGATATCGTCAAAAACAGTTGTTTTTGAGCAAAGATTGAGTCTTCATCTAAGCATCGCATTCTGATTTCATTTAAATTAGTTTGAATTGTTCTGCCTCGTTTTACACAGCTGTCGCAGCTGATGATCCTGCCGTAAGTGAATTTTCATCATCAATCATGAAAACTTGTTCATATGGCGGTGCATTATGTCTGGCTAATGGACTAGGGGTCGGAACCGGGGATGGTGTTGGGGTGCTAGTTCCACTATTTGAGTCGTAATGGGAATGGTATCCCATTAGGGCGGACATGCCCATAACTGGAACTGGTTTGTGTATAAAGTTGTGGTAATTGTTGTCGCGGGATGTACCGCGCATCGGCTGAACTGTTTCTCGGAATGCTTTGACGACTTTGATCTGAAACAAAAAAGAACCTTGTGAACAATATTAAAGCCCTTAAATACTTACTCTGTCAAACCAACTAAAAAATTAAATTGCCAAACAAAATTTGCCAGAGTTTCTTGCCAGATTAACTAAGTTCAATTTTTTCTCGCAACTAAATAAGAAAGTCTAGCAAATATTGAAGTTATTATCTACAACAAAAACTATTGGGCAAAATAGTTACTTATCAAAATGTCCAAATTTAAATTTCCTGAATCCATTAAACTGAATTTGATGTATTTAAGGATCAGCTTACAGAAGACATTATAAATGCTTTTTTCTTCAAATTTCAGATATTGAAAAATCTCCCGAGTTAAAATATAACCATTCCGAAGATGAGAATAGGTTATGAAGTGAGTTAGTGTTAAGTTAATACACGAGTGACATCTGACTATCGTGAAATTGATACAGAGATTCACCAAGTCAAGTTCAGTTAATAAAGTTTATCCGTGCAGGATGTTCATTAAAAAATAAGAATTGAAATTTAAATTAAATTTGTTCAAAAAAATTATGAAAATTGTTGACATCAATTTTAATTTTTCAGAACAATTTAAACTTTTCTTTAGCAATTTGAATTTTTCTTAAGTCCAGGCGCGGATCTAGGAATTTCTCGAGAGGGGAGGGGGCGGATTTTCAAAAAAAAATAAAATTTTTGTCGACCTTTTTTTAGGTTGACCAAATTGATTTTCTGAGCTCTCGCCAACCACTATAAAGACCCTAATTTGAGACATTTTTCCGCGCCGCAGGCAATTTTTGAAAAAAAAACAGGCCAAAATGGGCGTTTTTACGCACTTTTTGGAAAATTTCACCAAAAAATTGCGTTTTTTCGGCGCGCGCTCCCCTCTCAAAATTAGTATAGATTGGCGCCGAAGACGCCTTTAGAAAAATTTCAAGGTCAGTCAGCCAAAAATTAATATCTCATAATAGTAGAAAGGGGGACCCTTTGGGTCGGCAGGGGGTCGAATCCCTGAGGGGGGGACGCCTCCCCCCCCCCCCCCCCCCACTAAATCCGCTACTGCTAATGCTGATTTAAATTCGACTGCCAAAACTAAAGGTAGAGAAACTAAAAAAAAAAATTAAAGTATTCATCCAAGCAAAACTGAGTTATGTAAATAAACGCCGACGGAGTGAACCCACATTTTAATTGTTTATGGCGAAGATTAAGATCAAAGAATGCAGAAAATTGGGAACTTTTTTATTACGCTCGTAAAACTGACAAATTGATCCAATTTTGATACTAAAAATCAAGCCCCATTTTCCCTTCCTTTGGACCGAGAGAGTATTTTGCGCTCCAAACTTATTTGAAAAAGTCAAAAGAAGTCTTCAGCAAAAATTCGGGCATGTGCAAAAATATGACTTTTTCTAAAAACAAAAACCACACGACCTTAGTACACATTCAATCATTTGAACTTTCTCACTTCATACGCGACAAATCAGTCAGTATAAAAGCTACTGACTTTACTTAAACTACGTCGGCCATTGACCATTTGCAATGGCTATTCTCAAATGCGATCTAGTAATCAACTTAACAAAAAAGAACTAGCCGATTTAAGCAAAATTAAGCTCCAAAAGGTGATAATTCTTAAATTAGCACATAGCCAACAAGCTAAAAAAAGCCAACAAAATACTGACTTGTTTTTTGAAATCGCAATTGTCAAGTTTCTAAGAAAAAAGTGATTCCTTTGAAGTTCATTGAAAATCTAGAACAGCTTATTAATGGCATTTTTTTGATAAAACTGACCCAATTTGAGAAAACTGGATTAATAGGTTTTTTTTTGTTCCGCTGGGAAATCTGACCATACAATCATTTTTCGCAATTAGACGTCGATCACGTTTTTTGTGACCTTTGCACTTTCGCTGTTCTTTAGGGGATTTTGCCTTCCTTTAAACAAAAGAAATGAACTGAAACAAAAAAAAAACAAATGTCAAGCACGAAAAAGTAAAAATTTGAGCCTAATTAAATTTTTAGACTTTTTCTGAACCTATATAAGAGTCTGAACTACGTTCATCGACTCTTTAAAAAAGAATTTAAAAAACCACTCACTGGACAAACATTTTGCAATAATAGGATGCATTTACTGTTTGCATCTCAAGGCAACTCGACGAATTTCTGAAACTCATTTTGACATTTGAAGATTTTAACTTCAAGAATAATTGGTATCTGAAAAATTAAAAAGACAGCAATTTTAGAAAACAGGATCAATATGCTTTTCAAAAAATCTGAAGACTGAAATCGACTTTTGAAACAAAAATTCATTTCAGACCATTTTCACTTTTATTGTAAGCGACCGTAAATTATCTTCAAATTTTTTAAAATATATTAAAGCACGTGAAATAAAATGCGAGATCATAATCAGGCTCAATTGCCAAAAAACAGCACGATCCATTAAAAAAGTAAATTCGCTCCTTTCAATAGTAAAAAGCGATCTGTCATTAAAGAGAAGGTAATATTTTAAAAACATCAAATCGTAATGGGACATATTGGATATTTTTAACTCACTATTTCTAATTTTAATTAGCAAAGAATCTCCTTTTCTTACACTTGCACTTAGCTAATTGCAATACATTTTTTGAGAAACTTTGAACATATGCCAACTACTATCGAAACATCTTTTTTTGCCAGATATAGTTTGAAAAACTACGATAAAAACAGATAGACGATTTAAATTTAACAACAGCCGCCGGTTGCTCTGCATGCATATCAATTTCGACCATATTAATTACTCGTAAAATAAACAATCTTTCAAAATATTTCCTTTTTGTTTTGCTTAAAACGATATACTAAGGAAGCCAGTTGCCTGCTGATCTTCCATTTCCGAGAATTAAACGATTTTTGAATATAATTTTCAACTACAATTGATCGAAAAATGTCTGAAAAAGCTTCATATTTTTACATTAAAAACCGTTACGAATATTTAGCTACGATATAAATTAGACTAAAAGTTCACCACATAGCTTTTTCGGAAAACATAAGTTAAGTTTTCGAAATGAAAAGTCTCTACAAAACGTTTAATTTTGAAATTTCATTTTGCTCGATTTAAGACAGAGGCTGAGCTACACTTAGCGAACACAAGAGTATTGTGATTCCGAGCTGAACTTCGGAAACACAATCGTAAATGGCAAAAGTAGCTCTAAAAACAGCAAAAAAATAGGAAAAATGCAACAAATAACAAATTTATACCTTGAAGAAAATCAACACAGAAGTAAATAGTACTGCAAAAAAAGATGCGATTCTAGAAGGAGCCTCAAGTGCAAAACAATGCTCTCGGCATCGATATCTTCAAAGCGAAATTAAAACCAATCGAAATTAAAAACGAAATTAAAACCAAGCGAAACAAATCAAAACAATTTATGATATGCGCTTTTTTGATAAAATTAACCCAATTTGAGAAAACTGAATCAATTGGTAAATTTTTAATTCATTCTGAAAAATAAAATTCTCCTATGAAACTAGCAGTCGGTCACTCACGTTTTTCGTGACCTTAACAATTTTTCTGTTCGATAGTAGAGTTTGTCTTGCTTTTAATAAAGCAAATTAACTCAACATAAAAAACCAAAAGTCGAACCGAAAAAAAATCGGATTTGAGCGTGAACAAATTTTAAGACTTCTGAAAACAAACCTTTATAGGAGTCTTCACTACATTCGTTAATCTTAAAAACCTTTATAGGAGTCTTCACTACATTCGTTACTCTTAAAAACCTTCTAAACTAACTTTTTTCAATTAAAATCTCGCAAATCTTTTCCAAAATAGATTATTTCTTTGATAAAACTCGATCAATGGGTATGATTTTTTAGTCCGTAAGGAATTCTGAAAACATATCCACTTTTGATATTAATTGTGAACCCTCTGTTCCAGCTACTTGAACTTCTGTTAACAAGAGCGTCATTTCCGCTTCCCTTTAAAAATGAATCGAAATCATACCGCCAAAATAAAAAATTTAAGCATGAACACTTTTTAGACATTTTTTAACACAGAGGCTACAGATCCATAATACCTTGAAGCTAAAGTGTTACTAGAGGTCAAGCTAAAGCTGGAGGAACCGGTTTGATATTTTTGAATTGTTGTATTGATGCGGGATTAAGTAGGTAGTTTAAAAAATTTCAGCATTGGACTTCACCCAAAACCTTGGTTGTTGCTATTAAAAATGAGTAAAAAAATTTGTAATTTTGATATTTTCCAGAAACCTGTTTCTTGATCAAACTTTAATGCTTAGCAATTTATATACTGAGGCTTCTTACAATCTGTTGCCTTGATTACACCTTTGATATCAGATTGAGTTGTTTTCGAGAAGTCAAAAGTTAAACTAAACGAACAAGAAATCATAACATTGACTTTTCTGAAAGCCATAACTTTGTTGTGTTAGAAAAATTGAACAAGAGCGCTTACACAGACGAGCTTCACTCAAACCTTTCTTTCTTCGTTGAACCTTATATTTCAGGTTTGAGATGGTAGCTTTCAATACAATTGTAGAAAAACTGCTTAAAACAAAATTTTGACTTTTGAAAAACTGCAAAAAAAGGCTTTTCTGAGGGTTAAAAGTATTCGTGTATAAAACTGGTCGTAACCGCTTATGAAGTGCAGCTTCCCACAACCCATTCTTCACACTGAAACCAATATCTCAGATTCGGGACGGTAGTTTTGAGCAAAGGCAAAGTTTCAAGAAACAGTCAAAAATTCGTCTTGTCCGAGGGTCATAACTTTTTGTGTAAAAAAATTGGGCATAACCGCTGATGCGGGGGAGTTTCCCAAACCTGTTCTACCCAATGAACCCTAAATCGCAGATTTGCGTGTGTACTTTTCGAGCAATTTTTTTTTTAATTCAAAAAATTGAGTTCAAAAATCACCCCACACTTTTTCGAAGGCTGCAGAAAGTGGGGTAAGGTAAAAAGATGATAGGGGAGGATGCGGGCACACAAGAGGGTGGCCGTACTTCCCAATAAAACCATTCTTTTGAAAACCGGTAGAGTATTTTTTGAGAAAAACAAAATTTTCCAAAGCGTCTCAAAAAATAAATAATAGTAATACAAAAAACCCGATGCCATACATTTTCATCAGACCTTTTTTGTATCAAAAAGAAATAAGAGGCCACCTTGACTACCTGTTTGATAATTTATGAAATTTTTGTATTGATCCGGTAGGACAAGGGTAATTTCAAAAACAGACCTATAGCAAAGAAAAGTAAATCCCAATTTAAAGACTTCAAAATCTGTTAATTTCATCAATTACATCAGTTTTCTTAATGATGAAGCTATAACAAGAGCTTGTTAGGTTGAAAGATGCTTAAAACGTCGCTCATTTGATTTGGTTGGTAGTTATCGTGAGAAGTCAAAAAAACTCAAAAAAGGTTAAAAAATCGAAATTTGACTTTTCCGAGCGTCACAACTTTTGGTGTAGAAAACTTAGGCATATTCGTTTACACAGCGGAGCTTCGCACTTCCCATTCTACTCATAGAAACCAAATCTCAGTTTTTAGGACCGTAGTTTTCGAGAAAAGTCAAAAGGGTTAAAAAAACGGTCACAAAATAGAAAATTTGACTTTTCCGAGGGTCACAACTTTTTGGGTAAAAAATTGGGCGTAATCATTTAAGCAGCGGAGCTTCCAAAATCCTATACAATTTTTGAAACCAAAACCTCAGATTCTGGGATGGTAGTATTCGAGAAAAATCGAGAAGTTTTGAAAAAACGGTCAAAAATTGTGAATTTGATTTTTTTGAGGGTCATATCATTTTGTTTGAAAAAATTTTAGCGTAATCGCTTCAGCAGGAGAGCTCCGTACAACCCATCCGTTCGATTACAACTAAAATATCAGATTTGGGAGGGTAGTTTTCCAGAAACGTCTCAAGTTAAAGAAAATGGTCAAACAATCGAAAAGTTTTTGTGTAAAAAAGATTTGTGCCTAGCCGCTTATGCATGTGACCTTCCCACAACCTGTTCTAACTATTGAACCCAAAATCGCAAATTTGCGTGCGTAGTTTTTGACAAAACATAAAATCCAAAAACGTAGGTAAAAAAAAATTCACCCCACACACTTTTTTGAAGGCTGTAGAAAGTGGGGTAAGGTAAAAAAAAGAGCATAGGGGAGTATGCAGGCACACAGGAGAGTACCCGGAATTCCCATTCGTACCACTCTTTTGATAATCAGTTGAGTAGTTTTTGAGAAAAAAACGAAAATTTTCCAAAGCGTCTCAAAAAAATAATAGAAAACCCGATCCCATACATTTTCATAATACCTGTTTTTATCAAACAGGATTTTGTAATATAATAGTCTGTGTTAATATCCTTAGCATTGGCTGTATTTAATAGCTGTTTATTGGTCAAAATGAACACTTTCAAAATGAACACAATTGTCGCAAACATATTTGCGACTTAGGTAAAAAAAAAGTGAGTTCATACTATAACACAAGCTATGCTTGGGTAATGAAAGAAACCGTATGACCTTAAATTGTTCAAAAGCATTAGATATATAAATAGATATAAATATGCCAACTTGAAGACATCGTACCTTAGAAGCTAGCGTGAAACTTATTGTTTCAAGAATTTTCCAACAACCGTAAAATTTAAATCTCATTGGAGTGAACTTGAAGAAATTAATTATGGTTAACCAAAGCAAAGTTTAGCATCATGCACCGTGCAGTGCTCAAAATCACTAGTACAATGAAGTGAATACGCATCAATAAAGACTATAGTGCAACTAATTAACTATCAGGCGACGCTTTCTTGATCAGAATCAAAATAATTTGAACTTTGAAAAAAGAATCAGTCATCTGCAAGATTTGGTTGAATAAATTTACAGCAATGGTGTTAATTATGTTGAAGTAAAGTTGTGCAACAAGTTACGCAGACAAAAGTTCAGCAAAGCCTCGGCTTAAAACTGAAGAACAAAACTCCCTCTATTTGGTATCCTAGTTAGAAACTGGGCTATTAGTTAGAAACCAGAAAGGGATAAATGTTCCTACACCAACAATACAATTACTAACATACATCATGCAGAGAAACGAGCCATGCAAATTAAATATTTCAAACATGCAAATGAAAGTTTATGAGGCAAAGAAAAAAAGACAGCTACTGCGAGTTTAGACTAATTACAAAAAAAAATATTATTGTTAATTTCATAATTTGAAAAGACTTAAATGAAAAGTTTTTCAGTCTTTTTTAAACAAAATTAAAAAAGGAACTTATTCTGGGGTTCATTAGTGGATTTAAAAATTAGGAATAGCTGTACCCAGGCATTTGAATCAGGCTTTCGCAAGGTGGCAAATATTGACGCTCAATATTCCTAAACTAAGCTAGATCTAAACTCGCAAGACAAATAGTATATAGAAAGCTGCAGCACATAACACAAACACACACTCACCGCATCTTGCAAAGAATACTGGGCATCTCGAGGCGTTGCATTTGGGATCCATCATCATCGGCACTTCTCGCAGGACAGCGCAATATATTTGTTGGACGAAGACGTTGATAGTCGTGACACTTTACGGACACAGTAGAATAAGACTGTCACCAAAGATGTGTGAAAATAAGACAATATAGAACATAGCAGTGATAGGTGCGACGAAGATGATTGCTTGGACGAACTGTTTGATATAAACATCGGCTGAGTTTTTCTTTAAAAAACTCGACTTCAAGTCGTTTAAATCCTTAAGTCGAACAAAAATTTCGATTCCCAAAAGATACATCCCGCCATTTAACCCATAACAATTGGATCTATTCTTGGACTCCAAAGGTCCAGTGACCCAATCGCTCTGGTGTCCATTCACTTTTTCAATCAAACCACAACAAGGGTTAAAAAACTAATCAATTCCAATCGTTGACAATTTCCACGGGTTTCTATAGGAGATAAAGAGGGAATGATTTTTGCATACTTTTTCGCACTCAAGAATAGAAAGTTCTACCCAATACCCAATTTATGCAGATGCAACAAGTCAAGTCAAAATGCACAAAGCTGTAGCACATTGGGGTTCAAGTCATGAAAAGGAGCATCAAGCAATATTCACTACGCAGAAAAATACAAGAAATGAGTTTTCTTCCAGGGCCTTGAGATTGAGCTGCCATTTCGATTATTTTCTCAAAATTTTCAATTAAATTGTCTTGTGTTAATAGCCCACAATTGAAGTTTTAATAAGACCCTGAGAAACTTATTTTTACCATTTTATAAAGATACCATTTTTACTGCACATTGATTCGCGCACATCAGTTGACAAATAAACGTTAAAGGTTACTATTTATCTATGCACGTTCGACAAAAATTAGTCTGAATAGCATTTTGAATCAATCTATTCTAGGTTAATTTGCCGCGGAGGTGCAGCAACAGGACAGAAAAGACTTTAACTTCGCGATAGAAACATCAAAATTTCCAGGACAACCTAGCGAAGAACTCAAACATCGATTTTTGATTTTACTTTTCAATGACACTTTCTTAAACTGTTTAATACTCATTCTAACCGACTTCATTTAATATCAGTCGTGAAAATGAGCTGGATAGGGGTCTTATATTGTTACTATTCAATCAATTCTAGTCTTGTGCACAAACAAGATATAACGTCACATATAAATACTGTTATTAAGTCTTCGTGTATTGTTAGATGCCATATCACAATGATCAATGACTTGTGAGCTTCACAGCTTTTGACCAAAATGGCAAAATTCAGACGCAAAAAGCAGAAAAATCTGTCAATAATGAAGATTATCTTCCGCTCTGCCTTCGAAAAGAAAGTAGTGAGAAAGTATAGTTTAACCATATAGAAATATTAGCTTAACCAGAAAATAACTAATTTTAAAAATGTGAAAAACTGGAAGCATTGAAAACATCAACCGGATTCATTTTTTCACACCTAACTGAGACGACGGACGTGGTAACTGACCTGTTGTTGTATCCTGGTGACACCCCTGACCCAAAGTACTCTGCTCCTGTTGTCGGCTCCTCCCGCTCCCCCGCCCGAGCTACCCGGGTTGAAGTTGACAGCAGTGGCGTCTGCGTCTCCTCTGTCACCGCCTGAACAAACAACATCAAAGTTCACAGCCATTATTTACAGTCAGGTATCCGGTTTCCAATATAGAGTTCATCTCGCATATAAAAGGTTTTGCAAAGTTGAGCAAGAATTAAGTGCAATATCTTCGATGTGCGAGAGTTGACGCCAAATTGTTGCCAATGTCGTTTCCAGTCAACGAATCTTTACGAAGTCAATCAATCTAAAACTGCTCATTTTGATGTCAGGGGCCAATTTTTTATGCATTAGAACAGGTAAAAACTGTCGAGAAAACAAATCGACCCAAAACAAACCAGTTTTTGATCGATTATTGCACTGAAGATTATCGATATTGCCAACAATTTGGCATGACTACACTTTCGGGTCTTAACGTCACATCAAAACAGAATTACAAACCAGAAAGAGAGCTTAGATTGATTGACCTTAACAAGTTTTTAAGCAAGATTAATTTTTTTAATGAACTTTGAAATAGTCGAGGTCAACAAACAGCCGCGTTTAAACCTTATAACATGCAAGGTCTTCTCGCATCATCTGTTGAAATTCCACGAGATATTATAATTCAGTTAAAGCTCAACATATTTCAAACAAATCGAATATCTCCAAATAATAGGAGATACAACTTCGTTTATAACAGGAAATTTCTTGCTTTCCATAATGAGCTGATAATTAGTGCCTTCCAGGTGACAATAATATCGCTTGAAAGAATTATAAATTTCAATGCCTCAATTTCGAGTTATTGTTTGGCACGTGAAGACCCTTAATTTCCAAAATGCAAATTTTTTTGACGTGGAATCTCAGGGATTTGTCTTTCTGTGCAAAAAAAATTACAGCAACTTTCAGTGTTTCCAGAGATAGGAGTACTTCTCATGTGACAATGTGCAGAAGTTTTTCTTGTGCAATTTTCAAAAAGAGCAGTAAAGAGAAAAACAACCAAGCGTGCAAAAATCAGTTCTAAATAGGTAAATAAGTGTCTTTACTTCGTTCATCGACTCTCAAAAACCCAAATTGCGATTTAGAAATTTTCTGACAATGATTTTCTTTCTTTCGCTTAAGATGTGCCGGACTGGAAAAATCAGGCCTTACACTAAAAATGGTTCTGTCTCACGTAGTAGGCAAAACTTTGACTAACGCTGCTTCCCCTCTTCGATTTTTGACTCTGACACTGAAGGCTTTGCAATTAAATTCGACAGCAAGTTTTGTCTTTTAAGGTCAACAACCTTTAAATTGTTGCTTCAAAATTGCCTAAATCCAAGTCGATACTATTCGAAACAATTAGCAATTGAACAAAAACTGCCTTTTTTCAAAAAATAACCATAAACAGTGGGAAAAAGTAAAACCAATAGCCGAAAAAAATGCAGTTGAAAAGATCGACTGATTTTTTATCTTCTCAGTTTCCGAACTGCTTAGAGAAAATTCATCAGCTAGTATACACAAATGAAACGTCAACAATTGACAATTTTTAACAATGAACAATTTGAAAAATTAAAAGCCACCCAAAAAATGAGAAAACAGCATTTACAAAAATTTCATAATTTTGTCTCAGTTATGTTCAATTTGCGGAAACCACATCCAGCAGAACATTCGCAGGCAAGAAGCAAATTCAGAAACATCAGCATTCAGATAAATTTTAGAGAAGTATTTCAATTAAAACGAAAAAATTTTGGTAAACTCCCATTGAGCCAAATGGTTGTCATAAAACGATTTTTATGCTTCTGCGCATTTCCGAAAGACGGCCATGTAATTAGGTTTCTCTCCAAAACGACCGAAAGTTAAGTTTTTAGTTAATTAAAGGCAATAAACGATAAGCCGAAACCATTTATGCCAAAAAAAACTTCAAGCGAAAAAAAGGAAAACATTGGAAGTCAATGCTAGTAGACATACAAATGAAAAACGCTTAAAACTACTATGAAAATAGCCGAGAGTACAAGGAACTTCCGCAATGTGGCAAATATTAGGACAAAATATAATCAGACAAACCTTAGGCTGACTATCTTTTTAAAACAGAGTATGTTCAGTTTGAAAAAAAAACAGGTCCTGGCTAGATTCGAGTCTAGGAACTCTAACATCTCAAAATAACCGTTACTTCTCGGCTAAGATTAGTGGCTAAGAAAAAAATCAATTTAAAATTCTGGGGCTATCCAGTATTTTTTTAAGCAAACTTTAACTTGAAAAAGTATATATTTCGATTTGATAAGCGCAAGGTCGCCAGTTAAAAACGAAACAAAAATCATGGAAAAAAAAACATTAAATAGATAAAATTACAATGACCAATTTTGAAGGTCGACTTTTCTGTAAACGATTCTAACGGGGAAAACAATTGTGTTTAGATATTTTATAAATTGGCAGATATAGGAAACTTAAATTCTGGAAAAAGATGCAAAGCAAATTAAAACTGAGGCGAATCTGCGCTTCGCAAACACTAGCGAGAAAAAAAAACAAAAAACAGCTCGATAAAGTGAAATAAAACAAAAAGTAAGAAGCCTTGAAAATTGCTATAGCGGATTCGATCCTACGACGAGGAAATTTAGAGTCATGTGCCCTCGCATCTGTGCCACGCGCCCTTGATAATTTCCTAACACTAGCCACAAATAAAGCAGCTACATATGCTAATAAATTGCCAATGCAATACAGCCAAAGTGACAACAAATACATACAGACCCAATATTACATGTCATAATATGAATATAACAAACTGAAGGCATCCACACTAACTTTGAATTTAGAAAGTATTAAATCAAATTATGAATAATCTATTCATTTAAAAAAACTACGATATTGGAAAACTTCTGAAATCAAGTTTTTATTATTGTAATGTTGTATAAAACAAATGGCTTTTTTTGGTTCGTTTGATGAATTAAAAATGCATCAACTGTGTTAACTTATTAATAATCGAAAGTCATATACTAAACGCATATACTATCAAAAAGCCGTAAAAGATCCCGAAAAGTGGCACCAATCTTTGTGACTTAGGTTGGAAAAAAAAGAATAGTTGTACTATTAAACTAAGCTCACTAAAGCGGGCTAGTGTAACCGTCCCTATGCTGGTTTCAAAATGAAATATCTCAAAAAACTCTTTCTTCGAATCAAAAAGCGACTGCAAATAAATTAGCACAATTTGGCAACCAGCACAGCAAAAAGTTACTTTTCTGACTATTGCTAAGACTCCCTAGCTACGGTAATCAGTACTTCACCCATTCTATTCGTTATTTGTGTGGCTTAATGGGTGTACAGTTCACACGAAACTTCGTGCTTTATGCAATAAGCTACCTTTACTATTGCTGAAAACTGCATCATCTAAACAAGAGACGTCGATGGCATTCAAGCCTCGAGTAGAAGCATATTCCAAAAATGTACTATTTTGCGTATTTAGAGAAAGGCAAGCGATTGTTTGAACGGTTAAGGTAGTGTTTGTAGCTTCGCATCTAAGTTGTTATGAGATGTAGATAGAAAAGGAAAGAGGGACAGCGGCGGCTTCAGCGGCAGTTGATTGATAGTTTACAAACTGGTTAGAGGGTAAGGAAAGGAGCGCTTACTCAATTCTACTTCTGACGGGTAACTTGGAACTAAAACGGTGAGCAGTGTTACCATTCTCGCGACACATCTTTGAGAGCCCATCTAAGACTGCTAAACCTGCATTTTACAATAAACATTGATTTGTCAGCTTATCAGGTGCTTTATTCTGTAGGCTAAATAAACATGCCACTTAACAAAAAATATATAACTCTAAAAAAGGTGTTCAACTAAATTATCTCTACAACATTAAAAAACAGCAAGATAAAACTCTTCTATAATAACTTCGCAATAACTACTCTCCATGCTACCAACTATGACATTTAACATTTCGTCTCACTGCATGATTGTAAGCCATACCTCTCGTGTTTTAGTTATCTATTTATCTTATTAGAAAAGTTGGTTCTACCTGGAGTAGCGGAAAAACAGCAAGATAAAACTCTTCTATAATAACTTCGCAATAACTACTCACCATGCTACCAATTATGACATTTAACATTTCGTCTCACTGCATGATTGTAAGCCATACCTCTCGTGTTTTAGTTATCTATTTATCTTATTAGAAAAGTTGGTTCTACCTGGAGTAGAGGATGCCCTGTGGTTGGGCTGGTTCGCATTGGCACCTCCTGCGCCTCCAGTCTTGCCCTCTTGGTTGGAGTAGTCTTCGGTGGTGTCGCCCCATGAGAACCAGGATGGGAGGGAGGATTCTGGCACAAAGTTGAGCACCTGGGCCCACACCAAGGTGCCCAGTCCGAAGGCCACACTCCACAGCCACAGTTCCCAACCCAGAGGAGTGGTGAATGTGATCACGTCTCCAAACTGCACGATGACCACCTATAACACAAAGAGATTCAAATAGATTGATCAAGAACCAATTTCCGTTGTGGCACAAAATTCTTTTTGCGATACAGCATGATCGAACCTTGCGATACAGCATGATCGATTTGCGATACAGCATGATCGAAAGCTTTTTCTCTATTTTTCTTAGAAAAAAAGTGGGGAATTTAGAGTTTCTAACCCCTCATTTAATGTAGTTTTACAATTTGCAGTTTATTTGAAACAGATTTGCAGAGCTCGAAGTATTTTAAAAGACTGCTTAAAACGTAAATGGGGAATGAAAAATTCCGATGGTTTCATTTAACCCTTTTTTGAATTTCTAATTGTATCGGATTTCGCTCTACTCACTTGGGCTATGATTGTGCCGATGACTATGCATATAAACAGTGCATTTGTGTGTATATTCTGGAACACGTTTCTTTCTCCGTGGATCTTGCGTGCGTTGATCTCATTGAAGCACTGCATCAGCACGAACACGTTGAATACCATGGTGAAGTGATCGTTCGGTACTTTTGCCTTTCGGCCAAAGTCAGTCGGTTCTATGTCGCCTCCAAGAGGTAAAAAGTAGGGCCCTGAAGAAACAATTAGGAGGTGAGACTTCAATGCAAGAAATGCTGATGAAAACAAATGATGATAACTTGAGGGAGTCTTGAAGTTTAAGGCTGTTCAAAGAATGAGTGGCTACCTGCAAATAGGATGGCATATAGTACTGCCAGTTGGTATATGGCCTGACCGACTATGTTTCTGGCCATCATGGGGGAAATGAGGGGCTTGGTCCTGCCGTAGGGTTTCCTGTTCAGCAGGTCCTCCGTTGGCATCTCCGTGGCCAGGGCCAGAGAAGCGAACGTATCCATGATCAGATTCACCCACAGCAGCTGGATCGCTTTCAACGGGGAGGCCTAAACAACATATTTACATCTGATTGCTTAACTCCGTCTATGAAAATTGGTAGAAAATATAAGAAGTGTTACAACTCTACATTCAATGATATTCAAGTTACATAACATTCTGCTCTATTTTTAATTCAACATCCCTTCAATCAAGAGGATGGTCATTCGAGATTATCTAAACAGCGCTGGTCTTTATTTCACTCCCCTTACGTCTTAATTTCTATTCAAAAAACATGCCTCAAATATCACACCACTAATGTTTTCGTAGATTTTTAGATCTAATCGCAGTTCAGCATGAAACTTTTGATCTACAAACGCTAATCGTATTCCAAAAACATACATTTATCAATATTCTTGAAAATGCATGAAAACATGAAAAGCAACTGCATCGACGCATATGCCTAAATTACAGCAAATTGACGGGTCTAGGACAACAGGCCGACGGGACTTCAAGCCGAAGGGACTTCAGGCCGAAAATTAAACCTTACATGCACCTCAAATCATTATTTTGTCATCTGTAAAACGTAGCTTGTCAAAATCGTAGGCTAGTTTGCTGCATAATAAGCCTCATTTATGACAATGAATTACTTAGGATTGGCATTAGTTAATAATATCAGCCGTTTTTTTGAAATGCATAAATTATAAACAAGAAAATTACCTTCAACTGTGTTTTATTTTTCAACTTTCCTTAACATCATTTGGAGGTTTAAATCTTATGAAAACGCTTATAATTACCGAATAAAGATCATGAAATTGAGAAATTCTTCAAAAAAGTTTCAAATTAACCTTATTTCATGACTTAATGAGAAAATTTTCGGCTTGAAGTCCCTAATTTTACGATTCGGCTTGAAGTCCCGTCGGCTTGATGTCCGGCACCCCAAATTGACGTATTGCAATGCAATGACCGTTCAAGACAAGTTCCAAAATAGTTAAGGCCTATACGTCATTTCGAAATCACAGGCACTGATCAAAGGAACATACAAATTAAATCATGTCTGAGCTCCAATAGAGCTTTCTTACTATCGCATAACGATTACATCAAAAGAAAAACATCAACTAAGTTTAATGTGTGAGTTTATACTGACCATGATAATGCATGAGGAGGTGAACGCGAGTATGATGGCGACTAAGTTGACAGTGAGTTGGAACTGGAGGAACTTGGCGATGCCGTCATACACATTCCTGCCCCACATGACTGCTCTCACAATGGAGGTGAAATTGTCGTCTGTCAGGATAATGTCCGACGCCTCCTTCGCCACGTCCGTGCCCGCAATACCCTGAATTACATTTTCACAATAATGACCCAATATAGTAGTTCATTAAGTCCGTGAGCGCAATGAACTATTAAATTTCGAGTACAAGTGCTGAACTAGGAAACATTATAAACATAAACCAACAGACAATTGAATGGTGTCAATAACATTGAGGAAACTTAAAAAAAAAACGATTGATCTCTTATTTGGAATTTTTTCAAATTTCGAGAAAATATATAATCAAAAAGCTCTTTGAAGAATCTCATGATCTTTTCTCAGCCAATGAGCTACGCATTATTTAGGATGCAGAAAAATTAATACAGAGGAGAAGCGGAGCTTTGCTCACTTGCGATACAGTGCTGATTCAAACTAAACGGATAAAACGCGTTAAACTTGAAATTTCAAATCCGTTTTTCTCAAATTGGGTTGAGTTTAGGTGAAAACTTATAAATACAAAACTTGCTTAAAATTTTAGCAGAATTTTTATTGTGTAGTTTGTTTTGCGAAATTCGGGCCCAAAATTTTACCTCAAAAATGGGTCATTTTGGCTTTTCTTAGTTAATCAAAAATTACGCCGAAAATACCCAGTCGATCACACACATAATTATATCAAAGTGAGCCCTTACGTAGCCCAACAAACTTTAACAAGGTATATCTCCAAAATATTGTATAAGTTAGTTTTTATTTATGCTTGATAGACAAAGGTCGTTTTTACTATATAAAATACCAACTTTTTATTTAAAAACAATTTTTAAACAATTTGCAATTTTTTTTGGAGAAAATACCGTTCATAAAGTTTGTTGGGCTACGTAAGGGGCTCACTTTGATATAATTATGTCTGTGATCGACTGGGTGTTTTCGGCGTAATTTTTGATTAACTAGGAAAAGCCAAAATGACCCAACAAGCAAAACAAGTTACACCATAATAATTCTTCTATAATTTTAAGCAAGTTTTGTATTCATAAGTTTTCACCTAAACTCAACCCAATTTGAGAAAAACGGGTTTTAAATTTCAAGTTTAACGCGCTTTGTCCAGTTAATTTAAATCAGCGCTGAACAACACTATAAAGATAAGACAAGATAAAAAACATTAGTAAAAAACGATAAGTCGATAAAAAACACTAGGTGAACCAAAATTTTCGTATGTCTCCATTCAAGATAACTAGGAGCCCAGCTAAGGTGGAATTCCTCATGCGCGAAGGACTGAATGCGAGACAAAAAATCAGCCAACCAGATTTCAGTAATCATAAATTTGGAAAGAAAGTAAACATTTCCAGGGACTGAATATTGATTTAGGCCGAATACAAAAACGGCAGAAAAATGAAAAAATTTGTGAAATTGTCACTGACCGCCGCCGAATTGGGACGAATTTTATACTTCAAGGGTTTCGTTATAAAAGAAGCAAAATATTGCTTCATTTAATTCATTTTAATTGAATGGCAATTGATTTTTTTTAAAAATTGTCTTTCGGCTAATATTGTTGTTTTCGGTCCTTCGCTCACAAGTTTTTTCGCCCATTCGGTCCTTCGCGCTTGAGAATAGCCCCCCTCCCCAGCTAAAAATATTTTTTGAACTTAATATACTGATGTGGGATGAAAAGCGTCGTTTAAAAAATTGGGCATATTCCAAACTTTAGTTGTTTCTCTACTAAAATAAGTAAGAATGACGATGTTTGAGATATTCAAATTATCCCAAGGTGGATACTTCTTTTAAAAAATGCGTGCAACCATATCTTTAGTTTGGACCCTTCGTCTTAGATTTGATAGTCTAGTTTTTGAGAAAAATCAAAAAGTTTCTAAGAAACGGTCAAAAATTCAAAAACTTTCTGAAATCCATAATTTTTCTTCTGCAAAAATTGGGTCGTGGCCGCTTAAGCTAAAAAAATCCTAGAAACGGGCTTCTCGACTGAGCACTTAATCTGACAATTGTCAGAATAGTTTTTGATAAATCAAAAAGTTTCATAAACTGCCAAAACTTCGATTAAACCCTTGATATCAGATTTGCAGGATAGTTATAGAGAAGTAGAAAGTTTGCAAAAACGGTCGACACACCAAAACTTTGATATTTCCTAGAATCATAGCTAATTGTGTGAAAAACTGGCCGCATCGCTTATGCAGAACAGATTCACACAACCTGTTATTTCGATGAAACCCAAAAACTCAGATTTGGGAGGGTTTTTGAGAAAAGTCAAATAGTTTTCGAGCAAAGTCAAAAAACGGGAAAAAAAAACATAACTTTTTGTTTGAGAAAAATTGGCGAAGAATATTATGCAAGAGAGCTTCACACAACCCGTTATTTCGATTTAACCTAAAGTCTCAGATTTGTGAGGGTAGTTCGAGAAAATGTCAAAAACTCAAAAAACGGTCAAAACTCAAAAATTTGACTTTTCCTCGGGTTATAACTTTTGATGAAATAGATTTGAAGGTCCGCTAATGCGGGGATTCTTTCCACCGCCCGTTATTTTCATTGAACGAAGAATGTCACATTTGGAAGGGTAGTTTTCCAGTCAAAAAGATCAAAAAAAATATTTGACTATTCCGAGGGCCAAAACTTTGTGTAAAAAAAAGGGGAGTAGACGACCTTTCCATTCATGCACCTTGTTTGAAATCGGTAGAATAGTTTCGGAAAAAAATAAAAATTTTAAAAAGTGAGAAAATTTTACGAGGCGTCTCCAACAACACCCAATCCTATACATTTTGGTAATACCTGATTCTATCAAACAGGGATTCTAAGCTAACATGCCAAACAAAATATTTGAATTTAAATTAGCAACAGAATAAATCTTAAAAAGCGGAAACACAGCCTCCTATGTTTTTGCAGACACCAGTTGAGCCAAAAAAAATTTATTAAATAGAAAAACCTTGCCGACAAACTTGAACAAACAACAGACAATTCAGTTTTTTATCGCAAATTTTTTTATATACGGTGAAAAAAAACAAGGTCAGGCCGGGTCTCTAACCCAGACCTAAGTGTACAAAAGAGTTACGGGAAAGAAGTCTAGTTCTCGATTACAAGACCATTATGATATCCGACCTGATGAAGGATCTTTTCCGATTCATGATACTCATGGGTCTATTCATACCTGGATTCGTACTCCAGGTATGCTTTGTTACACAACTCATATTGCTGGCAAAATCGGTGACCTTTAGCAACTTAATAGCTCACGAACTTTTTTAGGTGAATTGGTTTTTTTGTACAACGGTCAAAGCTGTTCACGGGGAGCCGCTGTTTTACCCCCTAGATTATGAGCTAGATTCCAAGAAATGAATCAGTTTTGATAACCGAATACTGCACCCAATTTAAATACTTTCAATCGATCAGGAGAAGCAACAAATTTTTAAAGGCGGTTTAGCTCACCACGACTAACTATCATATAGCAGCAGAACATATTTAGCAATTACGTATAGCTGATTTTAATTCAGGTGTCGACAATCAGTCAGCCGGCCTACCCGGAGGATTTCTGCACCTCCATAAGCAAACACCCCCTTACCAACCCCTCCACTGGACATACTATGTGGGGGCAGGATGGTGGTGTAAGATTTCACCAGCTAATATATACCACTTAATAATTCAAATATTTGAAACTGAAATGAAGCGTATAGCAATTTTTTTCATAGTAAAAATCAGCAAAAACGATTCGAAGTTAACTACAAAAACACGCAACAACAACAGCCTGCAACCAATTTTGATGCAAAGCCAAATTGCTCAGACAACGTAGGAAAAACCCGAAAAACTGCGTTTTGATTTTTAAAAATTAAATGAAGCCCAAATATACTTGCCGAATATAAGCACTTAAATTAAACAAAGGATTTTCTAAAAATGAAACACATGGAATGTCAAGCACTGGATATAAAGAATGCACCCAAAAACGAAAAACACGCAGCAAGGCTTGAAAAAAAGTGAACCATGATAGCCGGTTACTGTGCAAGTAGCACAGAAAGTTCCGACCATAGTCTTTAAAAAACACACATAAAAAGTTTTTTTTTTTCAAATTCGTATCGTTATTTCTGGGTGTGGTAATAAAAAGATCTCAGCAATAAACCAAAAATTAGGCACGTTTGACAGTACTAGTAAAATAAGCAAATCGAACAACACTTTTTGATGATCAATGACTATATATATTTAAAAAAAAAAAACATTTTAAAAGCAACACAGTTTCTTCAGTTTTTTCGCAGAATTTTTTTTGAATTTTCAAGGATTGATTCCCAAAATGGCGTTAAAAATTCCAAAAAATAATTTTTACCCGAATACAACTAAAATTAAGCATAAATAACTGATTGTAAACGGCTTAAGCTAAGCATAAACAAGCCTGCTCGCTCGCTTTCCTCGCTCGAAATTACACGAAAAATCAAAAACTTCACACCAGTTTTTCTCGACACTGAGAATTTTTTGAAGCTTTTTAATGTGGTTCAAATCACGACTGAAAGGGCTTTAATATGATATATCATTCAACCCAGTCCGATGATTATTTGTGGTACCTGATTTTTTGTGGAAAAACAAAAAATTAAAACACACCCGAATTTAAAGTTCATCCACATTGAATGATCGGAACAATAAATCTCGCAACTATAAAAAACAAAAAAATATGATAATTTTATCGTGGTGAGGCATCTAATAACTGCTCGAGAACTAGAGGATTATAACCAAATGTATCACGAAAACTTCACGCTTGGCAAATCCATAGCCGCATTCCCTCACTGGAACATCAGGCTTCGTAAATCCAAGTCCATCAAAATAGTGAATTAATTAAACAAACGTTTAAATAAATCAGTTGTTGACAAAAAATATATCAATAACTATACCGATTGCGCAAAAACAAATCTTTGTAAGGTTTATTTTGCCCTTTCAAACATTTCTCTGATCAATCCCAGAGAATTCCACTAGAAATTAATCGTAAAAAAGTATTAGGTCAATAATCCCACAGAACTAAAGAAAACACCCAATAATCAGAAAACTTTCCTTAAACTTTCGGCAAAAATTGTAAGAGCGCATAACATAAACTAGTATAGCAGTATATTCAAGGATTTAGATACGGCTGTTTAAAAAAATGAAAGATAGCCAACAGAGTTAGAAAACAGTCAATGAACACACAAAACAGAAAAAAAGTACTCACTAAATTTCGAATGGTAAGAAAAACATTACCAACAGATAGTTGAAAAAGGGTCAATGAACGGCATTTAAAACGAAAAAAGAATACAGACTTGTTTTATAAAAAAAAACTCAACTTTCGAATTTCAAAGATAAAATAGATGCCCTTAACGCCATAAGACATTCTAGAACACTTTATGATAACCACTTTTTCGATGAAAGTGACCCAATCTGAGAAAACTGGATCACTAGTTAAATTTTGTTTCACTGGAAAATCTGAAAATTAAATTCGAATTTCGAAACTAGAAGTCAATCACGTTTTCCGCAAACTTTACATGGAGTTTACATTCCTTTTAACAACTGAAACGAAATTAAAGAACTTAAAGAAATTAGAAGTGATACCGCGAAAAAGTAAATTTGAGCTTGAACTTAAATTATAAGACTTCCTTAAAAAACACAAAAAATCATCAGCACATCAGATAAAAGTCTGAACTATGTTCATCGACTCTTAACAAAGTGAAAAATGCGATTCGATGAATTTCACAAAAAAGTTGATAAGCTGGAATAAAATTCTATATTCCGACTTGATAATGCCTTCTAATATCAAGCGTTTAAATCAAAAGAAAGGTCCACTTAAAAAAGCGGCGTTGGATGCAAGCGGGTGGAACAAAAAACAACCCGACGCCAAGTTTTCTTCTTATCCTTTGGAGCAGTCTTATGACTGAGCTCAGTCGCTTAAAATTCAAGATTAGTTCTATTTTGCTTCCTCGCGCCTTGATTTTTTTAGACAGGGCATTAATAATCGGTCTAACCCAGCAAGAAGAAATCTGCAGAAACAGATATGATTCTAACCATTGCGAATCCGACGTCGGCTTTCTTGAGTGCGGGTCCATCGTTGGTTCCGTCTCCCGTTACTGCAACAACCTCCGATGCGCCTGGCAGCTCACTGTCGATGATGCCCTTGACTAGAGTGTGTTTGTCAGTGGGGGAACTCCTGGCTAACACTCTCAGCTGGGGCCACACTTTGTCCAGCAGTTTCTGTTCTATCAGTCTGCAAACATCGGTGAATTGTGGCCACTTTATTAGATGCGCCCACATTTGCAGTGAAAAAAAACCTAGCCAACTGACAGTTGGATAATTGTAATGAACGTAAGGAAACAAGAAAATGATTAATTTTTTGAAAAAATTTCAACTTTCAAAAGCATGTGCTAAGCAGTTAAAGCTCTATGAATTTCAAAAACAATTAATGATTGGTGCTTTTTGACCCTATTTAAGAAAAATTAACCCCATTTGAGAAAACAGGATCAATAGGTAAATGAGATTTCTATAACATTCGCACCTTCAGCCCGTGAAACTTTATGGCCACTTTGAAAACACTTACCCGTCCTTGTTTCGGATGCGTTTGTTGAACTCTCTGCCCTCAATGACCAGGAAGTCCTCCTCTCCGGGGCGTATGATACCACACTTGGTGGCGATCGATCTAGCAGTCATGATGTTGTCACCAGTTACCATACGTACAGTGATTCCTGCTTTCTGGCATTTCTTGATAGCCTCCGGAACCTACAATTGAGTTGCAATTGTTAGTACTCCAGGATAAATAGTTCGGCAATATTCGGTTCCGAGCAATGAGTTTAAGTTGAAAAATGTTTAATACTGAAATGATTAGATTAAATGACTTTCAGTAAAGCCGCTTCCTCATTAAAAATTACAAATACAACAAAATTTAATTTCTCAAAAACGTGACATTTTGCAGTCAATTTCTAGCGAAGTCAACGTAGAACATGGTCACTAATGATTAGACAAACATTCTTCGGCCAAAGAGATAATAACAACGGTTCTCAGAAAGCAGTTGATTAGCCTATATTCATTTCTCTGGATACCGAGTAGTATTTGAAAACTTTTACTCTGAACAATGTTTACATGTTTCACATAACATTTAATAACACAGAGGCGAAGCTGATTCGTAAACACTTGCGAGAACACGACCAAAAAGCAGCTTTATCAAGTGAAGTAAGAGAAAAGAGAAATAAACCTGGAATTAGCAAAAACTCGGCTACGTGTAGGATTCGAATCTGCGACATACTGCAATCAAGAGATTTTGAGTCTCACGCTCTATCCACTCAGCCACGCAAGCTTAACAACCGACAAATATTAGTCACGCATAAAACAGCTACATATTCTTTAAAAAAAATGCCACGCAATTCAGCAAAAGTGGCACCAAATTCAAATAGACTCAATTTTGCAAGTAATAATTTGGAATACAACAAACTGAAGGCATCCACATCAACTTTGCATGTAACAAATGGCAAAGCATAAAGCTACATTATGTATAAATTATGCATTTCAAGAAATTGTGAGATATATTGAGTTAAAAAACTTCTGAACGAGTTTTGATTATTGTTGCTCGAAAAAAAATCACTTTTTTCGGTTCATTTGATGAATTAAAAAGAGCATCAACTGTGATAACTTATACTATTCGAATGTCAAAGCACATGCTATGTTAAAGCTGTAAAGATGCCCTAGAAGTGGCACCAATATTTGCGATTTAGGTTGGAAAAAACAGAAGGTTCGTACTAATACACTAGCTTCGCAAGTGTAATAAGCACTGCCATACGTATAAAAGTAAATAAAATTACCCATATTTATAACGTCTAATTAACTAAGCTGGTCATTATCAACTGTTTACCTCGTCTCTGACAGGGTCTTCGATTCCCGTTACTGCAATGCATGTCAGCTGACTCACAAGTCCCACTTCATCCTCCCAATCCGGCTCCATTTCTGCCGGGAAGTCCTTGTAGGCAATGCACAGTGTCCTCAAGGCATCACTGGCCATGGGTTCTACAACTGATTTCACAATGGATTCCACGTCTTTCTTGCTAATGGGTTCAACAGCGCCATTCTCGGCCAGTTGAAACGAGCATCTAAACGAGCAGACAAATCACACTAGAGAAATATGACAAGAACGGAGGAGCCAAGTGCACCTCGTGGCAACATAAGCACAGTTTTGTAGGCCACAGCATACCTCCGTGTCTGGATAACCTGAAACACTCCAGGCTTACAAGAAGCAAAAGCTCCAGTTACGCCTGTAGTAAAACTGATACCAACTCAGGCTTGTCAGAACACTCAGAAACTTCCATCAAAAATTTTATTACAATTTCAGTTACTCACAGTTTGAGGATGGTCTCTGAGGCTCCCTTGGTGAAGAGTCGCTTCGTTCCATCTGCCAACCGAACAACTGTACTCATGCTTTTACGCGCAGAGTTGAAAGTGTACACCTACAAATCAGACAGAAGTATATCAGAGCAGATATGAGAAACATTTTTTTACCCCATTCGGACCACCTTATTACCATTCAAGCTCAGAAAGAGACCAGAAGTCTGAGAAAAAAATACATTCTAAAATTTCATTCAAAGAAAAAAAGACAGATCTCGAGTGCAAAGCACTGGAAAAAATGTTGCTCTTAATGAATGAAATTTTAATCGATGTGAGGTTATGTAAAATTACTAAAATATTGCTAATATTTTGAAAAGATGTAGATTATGATGTTACTTTGAGAAACGAGTCCTCTGGGTTTTTCTCCCTGATCTGGTGGTAGGATGCTCCCAGATGCAACAGCAGCCCCAGCAGTCCACACTCTGTCTTGTTGCCTACATGTTTCGGGTGTTTGTCCCCTGCGTGTTCTTCTATGATCTGTGAGGTGTAGCCAGAGTTGATCGAAATTGCATTTGCTAAAACGAAATTTAAATACATTTTCATTTTGACAGTTTTTTCCCCCAACGAAATTGCATACAGTGCAACCTAACTTACTCATCGATATCAAAGGAAAAGATGAATACATGCCAACAGACATGTGGAAAAATTTCAATGAATTTAAGAATGTCAAAAAAATCCCCTTGTAAATTTTTTTTAATTTCCAGAACATTTAACGATTTTCACATTTGTGATGAGGCTAACCTAATTTCATTAAACTGGATCAAAAGAAAATTTTTCTATTCATCTGGAAAATCGGAAAAACTGTAAAATGTCAAAAAGCACAACTACAAAAATTTACCATAGAGGAGACATTGTAATTCGCGAAAATAAGCGAAAAAACGATAAAAAGTAGCTCTAGAAAGTGAAACAAGAAAAAATTAAAAAATATGTCTTAACGAGGCGAAGCTGCGCTTCGCACCACTTGCGATACAAAAGCAAAAAGCCGTTGTGTCGGAAAAAATTCGAAACAACGAAAATATTAGATACATCAAAATGTATCAGGCTAGTTTTGAAAAAAAAAACGCCAAGACATGTGAAACTCACATCGGAAGAAAATCTACAAAGAGGTAACAAAGCCAAAATACTTTAGGAAGTCTCCCTCACCCTGAAAAAATTAACAAGCACCCTTACCCTCAAAACACACACGCTCACAAAACTTTAATTGCTCGTCAAATGAAACAAAATGAGGCCACTAAGTCGATATAATTTAGGCTGACACCTATTATGCCGAAAACACTTTTAAAAAAGACGAAAAAAAATCAAAAAAAAAATAAGAACAATCAAAAAATTATTTAGACCCCTCCGCCCTCAAAACACACACAAGCAAACATATTATTTTTTTGCTCGATAAAAAAGCAAAATGAGGCTATTATGCTGATATAATATAGACCGAAACCTATCAAACCAAAAAAAAACGAAAAAACATTGTCATGAGAAACTTGAACTAAAATTTCTAATAAGATTTAAGCAACTTGTGCAATAAAGTGAGCATAACAATTACGTTTCCCTTGAAACGACTTGAAATTAGGACACTAAGCCGATAAAAAATAAGCCTAAATCATTTTGGCAGAAAGTTACATCAAGAAATTACAAACAGCAGAAATTACGACATCAAGAAATTACAAACACGAGAAGTAAATCAAACACTAAAAGCAGCAGAAATGTAAATTGCGTCTTTGAAAAAAAACAGGTCATCTCAGTCTCGAACCCTTTTGCCAACCCAGGTCTATTCATTACCTCCAGACCAAAAGTACCTGAGACGAAACGAACTTTGAATTCATTATGAACTGAAGCTAAACTTACTATTTCAAATTTTGACCATTCTGTGAACAAATTTCCTTTCATGAAAAACGTCTGGTGCGCAATTTCAATACCATTGCTTATCACAAGGGTAAATCACAAATTTTTGCTACGTGCCGGATTCGAACCTCATGCCTCGGGGTTAGGATTATCACGTCCTCGCACCTGTGCCACAGGCCCTTCAAAATTTGCCAACCATAAAAGCAGCTTAAGATGCTAACAAATTGCCAATAAAATGCAGAAAAAATGCCACCAAAAAAATAAAACTAAAATATAAGCCGAGACAATTGAGGTCGAATAAAGCTTTTAAGCGGAAAAGCAAATTAAAATCAATCACACTTGAGAAATTCAGACAATCCATTTTGAAAACTAGAAGTCAATCTCTTTTTCCGTGACCTTAACTTTTTTGCTGCTCAATAGTGGAGTTTGCCTTCCTTTTAGCAAAAGAAAAAACTGAACTCCGAAAAAATTTTAAAAAACCAAACCACGAAAAATCAAATTTGAGCATGAACAAAGATTCAAAAAAGAAAAATTATCACGACCTAAAGAAAATCACTTCGTTCCTTTACACTTAAATATTATAATGGATACGAAAAAGTGTTGCTCAGAAACTTCAATCATAGCCAACTGACAGTAGGAATAGTGTCAACGAACGCAAGAAAACTGACTTCAACTACCGAATTTCAAAGGGAAAAATAGATGACTTACAGCTATTCCAATTTTAACATAAATTTATGGTTCACAATTTTTTGATAAAATAAACACAATTTGATACACAAAAGATCAAAGTAATTTTGTATTAATGTGGGCGACATCGAAACATAGCCGACAAACAGTTGGAAATGAGTCAAGAGACGCAAGGCATCAAAAGTTTTGTTTTTCGGAAAACTTACAATTTCGAATTTGAAAGAAAATGTGCCCTTAGAGCTCTTTGAGTTTCAAGAAAAAAGTATGATTGGCACTTTTTTAAAATTAACCCAACTTGAGAAAACTGGATCAGTAGGTAAAATTTTTATTCTGCTGGCAAATCTGAAAATTTAAATCGACTTTCGAAACTATAAATCGATCACGTTTTTTGTTACCTTTACGAAGGTAATGAGCTGAAAAATTCACTTTCGTAACAAGAAATTGTTCAGTTGGATTTTGCCTCACTTTCAACAAAGCAACAGAAAGCGGGCGCATTTTAACTAGCCTACGAAAAAGCTCATTAAAAATATCCGACCCTGCCCAGGTTCGAACCCTCTTATTTTATTGCGGGTATCCCTACCTCTACGCTACAGATCGATACCTTGAAGCCTAAGTGCTATTTGTAATATAATAGTCTGTGTTAATTTCCTTAGCATTGGGTGAACTTGATAGCTGGTTATTGATCACATTTTGTCGCAACAATATTTGCGACTTAGGTTGAAAAAAAGAGAGTGCATACTATAACAAGCTTTGCTTGTGTAAAGAACCTAGATATCTGAATATCTTTTTAAATCCCAAGTTTGATGATTACATGTAGCTTGGAATATGAAACTCTTTAAGCGTTGTCGCTTAGCGTTACCTAGTAAGTCGAGGTACTTTTGGCTAGGTTTGAACTCTTTCGGTATGTCTTTGAAGTGATGCTTCTCAGCGTATATCTGGGTGACTGTCATTCTGTTCTTAGTTAGGGTGCCTGTTTTGTCGCTACAGATGGTGGTTGCACTTCCCATTGTCTCACATGCATCCAAATGCCGCACTAGATTGTTATCTTTCATCATTTTCTAAACAGACATTACATTAAAAAATCTCATCAACACTAGCACATGCCACCATGATATGACAAATGTCATGTTCACGAGAGTTAGTTAAAAAGTAATAATATTTGATATTCTACCCTTCAAAACTGTAAAACGGTTCAATTTTAAATAAATACAAAACAAAAATTGGTTTTTATGCCTAGCAAATTCCTCAATTTGAAATGAATTTTTGCAAAAATTGCAAAAACCTAACTGTTGGCACTAAGTAGGAATATTTATACGGGTCTTTGGGTTGATTTACATAAATAACATGAAAATTGGAAGCAAAAAATTTAAAATAGAAATGTCAGGTGTTATCTCATTTCCGCGCAGACCAAATTAAATCAGGAAATCGAGATCAAAAACTTTCCAAGATTAATCGCTTTTAATGTCCTATGATAGCCCGTCATAGATTTCTTTGCTTCAATAGGTCAACTCTATCTCACCAAGAAATCGAATGCTAAAAACACTAACTTGATTGCAACAAACTAAAAAAAAACATAGCCATTCGAAGATTGGAAAAGAGTAATTAGAGCAAGTAAACAAAAAAACGCTGACTTTATTGAAAAAATCCAATTTTCGAATTTCAAAGAAAAAATAGATGCCATTTAAGCTCATTGAACTTCTAGAACAATTTATGATTGGCGTTTTTCTGATAACAGGAACCCAACTAGAGAAAACTGGATCAATATGTAAAGTTTATATTCCACTGGAAATCTAAAAATGAAATTCCACTTTCGAAACTAGAAATCGTTCACGTTTTTGCGCCATTTCCACGTTTGTATTTGGAGAGTGCTATTTACGTCACTTTCAGTAGATGAATTTCAATTGAACTCAAAAGAGCATATATACCTAAGTGCGTTCATAAATGCATCAAATTATATGAATGCACATCTGTAGTTATTAGAGACTTTCAAGACTTTTCCTGAAAAAAAAAACAAAAGAGTCCATTACTCTTAATCACGGGTACTTTTAGTTAATTAAACGTTAAAGAAAAACAAAACGTAATTAGTTTAACTAAAGGTTAAAGAAATTGAAAATCATATACAATATGAGCAGAGAAAATAAACCACTATGTAATTTTCAAGAAAATATTTTTAAAGATCTTGACTAAAGCGACCTCTTGACGTCAGAATTAGCGGGAAAATTGACGGCAGTTGAACCGGAATTCCACTTCTTTAACTAGGTGACCAGTCAATAAGCAGAATGGTCAAAGAACAGAATGGGTCCAAGAGCAGAAAAACAGAAAAATATCAATTTTTATAAGCTTATGGGTAAGTTAAGAATAAGAACTGTCAATATTACCAAAGAAGCAATAGTTTATGCATAATTTGAATAATTTAATCAAGATTTTTTTTATTTTGTTCAGAAAAACTTGATAAAATCATTCAATTCATGCATATTTTATTCGTTTTCTTGGTATTATTGACGATTATAATACTTGTTTTTATCAATTAGCCCGTATTAATCAATAAAAGTTAATATTTTTCTATTTTTCTGCTCTTGGACCATTCTGCTTTTTGCTCCGCCTCCTTCTAACTAGTTATTGCTTCAAAACAGGTTTTAAATATTCGCGTACGTAATTGAGCTTTTGACTTTTTGAATATTTTTCTTTAAAAAAAACAAAAAAAAATTTTAATCATGAAAAATTGAAATCGTTTTATTTCGTCAGTCCTCTGAAATTCCATCGCGTAATTGGGTTAATAGTCAGAGTTACACTCACTTGAAAATGCCATTTGTAGGTCAATTTTTTAATTGTACGTCAGTAGAATATTGGCATATTGCGGATGTTAACTTAATTTTTATTACAAGTGCCACCAAATCCAATTATTCAGGGCGGGTGTCGACGTTTAACCAATCTACTTTTGCCCGACACATAAAAATTACCACGCAAAAGAAATATTAGATTGCTTGGTTGATTTAATTGATTTGATTTTCACCATTTTACTCTCAATTAATTGTTGGAAAACGGAATGCATTTGTTTTTAAGCGACTTCAATTTCAGCACTCCTGAAATTACTCCAAATGCTCTTCAATTTGTGCGATCTTCAAAAATCTCGAAATCAAAATGGATCTTCCAAAAAGGATGTTCTTTATCCTTTAAGCTTACCTAAAACAATAAAAATCCCTTATCTGCTAAAAAAATTCTCTGAAGGTTTCGTCTTAGCGCACGCTATTTCTGCAAAATTACTACTTATTTGAAAGTAAACCCATGCGCCTTTATAAGATGTTTAGGTTTGGCTGAAAATGGATGTCAGATTGTCAAATAAGGTGAAGGCGAAGTTATATCTGATCGACTCACGAATTATGTCTGATCGATTTACCTTTACAGAGTAGGCGAGCGAGATGGTCACAGCTAGGGGTAGTCCTTCTGGCACAGCCACGACCAGCACAGTCACACCAATGATGATGTGGGAGACAAACTCATTCAGCCAACTCCATCTGGGACTCTTGCCTTCCATCAGTTCATTGACCACGAAGCGGATGATCAGCACCAGTACTGTCAGTACTGCCGCCGCTGTTCCTATATTATGCACTCATGTTGATACAACGATCTATTCAATCATTATTTTTAGAAGAAAAAAGTAGAACAAACCCTTTGATTGCTACGCAAAGTATCTATACATTTTCTATACAATTGAAATTCTAGAGGAGAAGGAAGAACTGGAAAAATAACTCCACTAGTTTGAGATCTGTTGCTTCTACTTAAATATCCAGCCTGCCAATTTCCATGGAACGATAATTTGCACATTATAGTTATAGTATCTCTAACATAACATGAACCCATTGAACTGAAACTGACATTGTCAAGAAAATTTTGCAAATAGAAATGCTTCAAAGTTCAGTTTAAAGTAAGTCTTTTACATAGGAGAATTGACAAATCAGTTTTTCGAGCGATCGCTTCTAATCTAAGGTCAATAGACACAGCCGTTGGTTCGAACACCTAATTAAATACCAAAGTAAACATAAGAACCGAAACAAAACCAATAACAATATCAACTTAAATATCAAGGCTCCCTTCTAAAAAAAATCAGCTGGAAAAATATGAAGACAAAGTAATTTCTCATCGTTACAGTTACAAACAACTGAACATAATACACTCAAACTATAAGCAAGCATTTCTGAGAGGACAGCTAACGAATCCGTAAAGGTTGCTAGATTCTGCCCTAAATTTAAAGAAACTGGTACCAAAAAAACTTATTCTTAATGTTGGGAAAAAACTAGCAAAATGAAAAAAAAAACTTATAATTAAACAAAGATAGCCGGCTGCTGTGCACTTAGGACAATTAGTTCCTAACATTAAAAAAAAAACATTTTTTTCCCAAATTGCTTCGTTTTTTGTTCGTGGTGTGATGAGAGGGTCTGAAAGAAAGTCTAGAACACCAGACAACAAATTTCTTCATATAATAAACGAAGACATTTAAAGACTTGAAAAAATCCAATTTTTTGCAGAAAAAAATTGGGTTTTTAATTTTTGTTCACAAGAAAGCTATATAAAAATCTCCAAAACCAATTTTCTGGAGTATAACTAAGTTTTCGTGGCTTCACTTGATTATAAAGACAATCATTATAAGCTCATTATAAGTCTTATTATAAGTCTACTATATTCGCTTTATTAGCTCGAACTTAGACAAAATCTCAAAAATTAGCAAAAATAAAAAAAATGAAACACACCCGAATACAAAACTCTTCCCCATTTTCAAAGGGCAGAACAACAAAAACATAGCTAACTGACAATTGGAAAAGATTAATGAACGCAAAAAAAAAACAAGAACTGACTTGTTTTTTGAAGAAAAAAAAACCAATTTTCGAATTTTAAAGAAAAATTACACCCTGAAAGCGCTTTGGATTTTACGAACAATTTATGATTGGTGCTTTTCTGATAAAATTGGCTCAATGTGAAACACTGGATCAATAGGTAAACTTTTTATTCCGCTAGAAAATCTGTCAATAAAATTCCACTTTCAAAACCAGAAGTCGATCACGATTTTTGTAAGCTTTACACTTTTCCTGTTCGATTGTGAAGTTTTCCTTCCTTTTAAAAACCGAAATGAACTGAACTTAAAAAGAAATCAAACCGAACCGCGAAAGAAAAACAAAAATCATCAGGGTTTTGTCACTAATTTAATTTGGACCGAGGCTAGTTGGGCATGGCTATCGTGAAAACTATCAGTGACCCTAATTTTACCTAGCTTTCCGATGAGTATAGTCAGTTTGGTTAGCTTGGTCTGCAGCACTGATTTGTCCTGGTTCACTCCCCCTCCGTCTCCACCTTCGGAGCTACTTGTCTCGTCCTCCTCGTCATCTCCTCCCTTCTTGGAGTCAGTGGAGGCCACTGGGACTGAATCGACATCTGTCTCTGCCAGTCGGCTGCCGTTCTCCGTGGCTCCCGGAGGAACTATCTCTACTTTGGGCACTCCGTTGGGCTTGTCTAAACCAACATTAATATTACAACTGCCGAGGAAAAAATCAAAACCTGTCTGAAGTTTAAAATAAAACTGAAGAAATTTTGTTTTTCCTTTCGAAATGTTCACGTAAGAAAACATGAAAAAGCCAACATCGGTTTCTAACTATTCATCCGGATCCGGAAAAAAATTAGCCAACCTACTTCTATCGGACTTTTCGAGGTAGTACATAGTTGAAAGCCAACCACAGACAGAGAGGCGAAGCTGAGCATCACTTGATACGACGCAAGCGTAGATTTTCAAGCTAGGTGAAAGAAAATGAGACGGCAAATCACGAAGTCAAATACATTTGACAAAAAAAGTTCTTTTCTGAAAACGGAAAAACTTCATTTCATGAAAACAGTCGAGAAACGCAATCAACAGCATTGAATAGACCTCTTTGTACTAGCAGTATAATTCACCGAGCTTCCAAAGTGTCGAAAATACTTAACTAGACGCCATTTCGGTCAATGAAAAAAATGCCATAACAAATTGGTAGGGTGACAATTCGTAGCATTCGACAACTCGTAACAGCCGACAACTCGTAACAAGGCATTGGCAAAAAGGATGCCCTTGCTCCGCTGCGCTTACATAAAAGAGTATAAAGGCACGAGAGGAATACTGCGCGTAAATCAGAGTTCCCAGCCTAATCTACTGTTACAAATTGTCGCTTGTAACGAATTGTCGCATGTTCCGAATTATCTCCTGTTACGAATTGTCGCCTTGTAAAAAAATTTTTGAGCGATTAAAAGTTAAAACTTGAAAATTTTCTATCACCACAACCGTCATGAATTATAAAACACAGCCAACACACAGCTGGGAAAAATTCAACGCAGAAAAAAAATAGGTTCTTGTTTTTTGAAAAAACTTTAAGCTTTGAATTTCAAAGAAAAAAATATGACCTTTAAGATCTTTGCATTTCAAGAACAATTTATGATTGGCACTTTTTTGATAAAGCAAACCCAATTTGGGAAAACTGGAGTGATATATTACGTTTTTATATCGCTGGGAAATCTCAAAAAATAAATCCATTTTCGAAACTAGAAGTCGATCACGTTTTTAGTGACCTTTACAATTCTGCTGTTCGATAGCTGAGTTTGCCTTCCTTCTAAAAAAAATAAATGAAGTGATCTGAACAAGAAGTCAGAAGTCAAATCACAAAAACTGGAATTTAAGCGCGAGCATACTTTCCTGAAAAAAAAAACAAACACAAAATTCATCAAAACCTATATAAGAGTATTCACCATGTTCATGACTCTTCATAACAAAATAACCATGTTTTGCTCTTCAAGCGACACAAAATAAGCCAATTAAGCCAATATACGTGAAACTTTAGTAATTTAATCGAAAAAACTTCATCTATATCCGAGTTGATAAATTGGCACAGGCGAAGCTGAACAAGTGGCAAAAAAAGAACCTTAAAAAAACTTTTGCTATATACCGGAATCGAACCTCCGACTTGGAGTTAGGAATCGAACCTCCGATCTGGAGTTAGGATTCTCACGACCTCGTATCTCAGGCCTTATTACTTGAAAACTACTAACCTAGATACCAATAAAACAACTACAGTTGCTATTAAATCACCACTACTGTGCAGCAAAAGTGCCACAAAATAAAGTTTAAGTTTCGCTAGGTGTCGGAACCGACCATCCGACCTGGATATTGGGAGTCTTTCATCCTCGTATCTGCGCCACATACGACATAAAATTTAGCAATCTAGCTACCAGTAAAGCAGTACATTTGATATTATATTGTCAAAGTTATGCTGCAAAGGTGCCACCAAATAAAACCGTTTCTATGTGCCCGAATCGAACGTCCGACGCCAAGAATAGGAGTCTCATGTCCTAGTATCTGTGCAAAGGTAGCTTGTAATTATTCTAACATTAGCCGCCAATAAAGCAGCTGGAGATAATATTAAGCTACCAATGCTTGAAAATATACCAAAAGTGTCAATATACCAACCCATGCTTTGGAAATGAAGCCGAAAAACAAGTTCGACTATTCATTTTTCTCGAAAAAAAAATCGATTTCGCACATACTGGAAAAAAAACAAGATCCGACTGTGAATAGATCCCGGGATCATAGGATGAAAGTCAAACGCGTTACCTGTAGACAAAGTGGGAAGGAGTCTGGAAGTTATGAAGGTTCAAAAATAAAGCAGGTTCAATTACTTAAAATGCCAAGTTCCCGACCATGAGACACGTACTCTCGCAAGTTAAATGATTTACAGCTTCTTTTTGCTTGCTTCTTATTTTTGGTACTTTTCAGCTACTAGTGCTATTCAAAGTAGCCAGGTGACAAATTCTGTAGACTAACCTTTAGCTTGATCTTCAGTGGTGGCCGGCTGGGCTGAATTCTCAGCTCCTCCCGATGCTCCAAGAAGGGTGAAAATGATTCCCGTCTGTGAGTTTTTACCCACTGCTATCGTCAACATGCGACCACTACCTTCCATAACGTGTGTACCTACAACAAAAACTACTCCTCAAATTTTTATGAAACTACTTTGGTTTTCATCGTTTTTGTGAAAACTATACAAATGGATAAATTTTGTGTACTTTATATACCAGAAAATTTATAAATATTTGTTCCCAATCACAACCTAAATCCTTGCGTATCATCATCCTCATCATCATAACTATTATAGCATGAAAAAAAAACATGTCAGAAATTATTTGCGTAGGTCACTTTATCCTCAGTATGTTGGATATTCTAATTGGCATTTAACTCTAAGATGAATGCAGGGGTCAGTTGTTTGAGGCTTCAAGCCATAAAAACAACATTTCCGTTCAAAGCTGTGACGTTAGTTTTGTCTTGTTCGTCTTCTTTTTTATATAAAAGAAAGTTCTCCAATTCAAAAAGAGTTGAGAGCATGAATAGGCTATTTACTCGATTCAAAAGGGTGAATGGGAGTATTGAACTGACGTGTATGGGTAGGTTCAAAGGGGGCAGGCATTGAAACAGGCTAAGAGTAGCTACACTGTTAATGAAAATTGCCAGTTTATGGTATGAAGCCGATATAAAAACGGTAGAAAATGAGACTTGAGTACAATCTAGCCGAAAAATACATTGTGATCACCATTACATCATGCCAGCCAGCTGCCTTTCAACATTTTTTCACGTATTTTTTAGGCAAAACCGCAACACTTCAGCTCGTTTTGGTTTCATTTAGTAGCCTGTAACTATATAGTGAGTAACTTTATCACCAGTTATTTCATTTTCATGGCATTTATCCCATTTACATGGCAAAAGACAAATTTTTCACTCTATTTGATTTCATTTAGTAGCTTGTAAGTTATCGGCTGTTTTGCGTGGCGCATATAATTAGTGATACTTTTAGGGGCTGGGCAGGGTTTGGATTGGAGTTGGGTAGAGAGAGAATAAAATTGAATTGGTTAGACGGCCAAACAATCTCCTCCTGTGAAGGCTCCTCTTTCACTGCTGATCACTGCACATCAAGCCAGACAGTTTTAAGCGACCGAAGGACAGGAAGATGTCACGGTTTTAAGACTCAAGTGCACTTGGCCCGTATAACAGATCATTATTATTTTCCGGCTATTCAAAACCCATTCGTTTTTATACCCATTAATCTGAATGACAATTTCTTTCTGACAAGTTCTTTATGACAAGAAGTCTATGCATAAGCCTTTGTTCCACACCAGCGAATGCATTATCCAAAAAAGATTGGGAAAAACAGAAAACTGAAAATTATCGTTTCAATGATTGTTGCATTTGTACATTGGACTGCGTTAGAATTGGCGCCCAAATCGTCCAAATGGAAGGGCATGGCAAAAATTTAATACTTCGTATCGACGGCCGAGGGTAGCGGTACTTAATTGAAGCGGCATGACAATGGGTCTATTCTGCGCTTACGCTTACGGAATATTTAATGGTGGTCACTATTTGAGGGGCAATGGAAATGAACACGCCTACTAAAATCCTACTGTGTCGCAAATTTAATTCAGCTATTTTGGAGGAATTTATTGTTCGATGATCGACACCCTCACATGTAAAGAGCATTTCATTTTTATCTGCCCCAAAAATCGATTCAGTGACATTATTATTCCGTTCAAAAATGGGATGTTCAATAACTTTCAAATTGATTGTAGAGAAAAGAGGGCAAAATCTCAAGAAATAGGAAAACAGGCCTTGAAAAAATATGCCTATAGATACCCAACTTCGTAAACCTCAGGCAGGGCATAAGAATTGTATTGTTAATTGTTGACCGAGTAATTGCAATTAATTGCAGCTAATTAATTGACACTAATTAAAACATAGGCGCTACGCGCAATACACCGAAGGCATAGAAACTGAAGCAAAAACCAAACAACTTGAACAACTAATAATTGAAGAATAACAGTTCTAGAACAAAAAATCGTACTAATACATGTATACACCAAAATTTTGCTATATCGAGAAAGAGCCTGAAATAACAGTTCTAGAACTAAAAATGTACAAATAATTAAATTAACATGAAAAAATATATATCTCATGAACAAATAACCAAACAAACAGACCCATAATATAAATAAATGAAAGTAAATGAATTAAATAAATACACATACATAAATAATAAAAGCAAAACTAAATGAAAGAAAGAATAATTAAATAAATTTAGAAATAAATATCAACAAATAAACAAAACACACCTGATAAATAAATAAGCAATAAAAAAATAAATCAATACATAAATAAATAAATAAATACATAAATGAATACATAAATAAATAAATATATAAATAAATAAAAGCAAAAGTGAAATGTACAAATAATTAAATAGACATGAAAAAATATATATGAACAAATAACCAAACAAACAGACCCATAATATGAATAAATGAAAATAAATAAATGAAATAAATACACATACATAAATAATAAAAGCAAAACTAAATGAAAGAAAGAATAATTAAATAAATATAGAAATAAATATCAACAAATAAACAAAACACACCTGATAAATAAATAAGCAATAAAAAAATAAATCAATACATAAATAAATAAATAAATACATAAATGAATACATAAATAAATAAATATATAAATAAATAAAAGCAAAAGTGAAATGTACAAATAATTAAATAGACATGAAAAAATATATATGAACAAATAACCAAACAAACAGACCCATAATATGAATAAATGAAAATAAATAAATGAAATAAATACACATACATAAATAATAAAAGCAAAACTAAATGAAAGAAAGAATAATTAAATAAATATAGAAATAAATATCAACAAATAAACAAAACACACCTGATAAATAAATAAGCAATAAAAAAATAAATCAATACATAAATAAATAAATAAATACATAAATAAATACATAAATAAATAAATAAATAAATAAATAAAAGCAAAAGTGAAATGTACAAATAATTAAATAGACATGAAAAAATATATATGAAAAAATAACCAAACAAACAGACCCATAATATAAATAAATGAAAATAAATAAATTAAATAAATACACACGCAGAAATAATAAAAGCAAAACTAAATGAAAGAAAGAATAATTAAATAAATAAACAAAACACGTGATAAAAATAAACAAAAATAAATATGTACATACATAAATTATAAATAAATATAAGCAAACTAAACATAATTAAATAAATAGAAGAACAGATAATTAAATAAATAAAGATGAACAAATAAAGAAACAAACATACGCAATCACGTGACATAGCGCGATATAGTCCAGCCCACATGATAATTGATAACTGTGGACGTTATTTGTCGACACTTGACAACAGACAACATTTAAAAAAAAAACCCGTTACACGATACCATAACACCTTGACTAAAGTCTTCGGTGTAATTATTGATATGACAAACAGTCAACAGATGGTTGAAAAAGTTGATTAACACTTTTGGTTATTTTCGAAAAAAATACATAGGTGAAGCACCATTTCCAATACAAAATATATACCAGAATTACAGCGTAAAAGTTTAACTATTAAAACAGCGACATATTTCACAGTTTCTGAGAAAATCAAAATAACGAATTAAAAGACTAGCCATTTTCTAACACATATGATTCATAAAAACTCACTTGACAAAGTACCAGGCGAATAAAAAACATTAGTGAAAAAGGAAGAAAGTGTAGAAATAGCACAGATGCGCTGATATGAAATAATGCAAAAACAAACTAACGAAGCTCAAAAACCGCCGAAATATGTTAACAAAAATATGATTTAAAAAAAAATTACTGTAAAGATGACCAACAAGAATTTTCAAAAGGTACACGAAAAAGTTAAAAAGGCTTCTCCTGCAACGCAATTCTGCAAAATTTCCATCAAAAACAATTACACAGAAGAGGACCTCGTCTTATTATAAAAGCATCTCGAAAAAAACACAATGAAAAAAATTAAATAAAAACATCAAAAACTTTAACAAAGAGGCGAAGGAGCAATTCGCAAACACAAGCGAGAAAACTGCAAGAAAAGTTCTAAACAGTCAAAACCGTAGTCAAACACGGAAACAAAGAAAAATTAAAAAATAAGAACTAAAAAATTAAAATTCCATTGCTTGGAAATACACCTTAAGTGCCACCAAATGATACAAATCTGATACTAACACTTGCTAATAATAAGCAGAGGCTGTTCAGAGCACCAAGTTAACAGACAAATAAGACAATTGAAATTGTTTTTAAATTAAAAAAGACTTCTCATATTAGGGCAAATTCTCACAATGACACTATCAGCTTGTCTCTGAAATTTTTTGTGGAACAAAAAAATTCGAAAAAAAATGTAAAGGCTACCCAGTCAATACCAAGAATAAATGCTATAACTTGAAGAAAGCAAGGTAATAATGGGTTCAATTAGATGGCCTCGGCTAGATTTGGAATCAGTTTGATAACCAAATAAATCACCGCTCTTAAATAATAAGTCGCGCTCACGCGCTGAGTTTCCTAGATAAATTCTTAAATATATTACTTTTAAAATTTGCACTGAATGATCAATATTACTTAGGGTGTGATAAGTTTCCATTTGAAAAATAAAACAATAGTTTTGGATCACCGAAATTGGTCTGGCTGAAAAAACCGAGCACAAATACTGCTTCTTTCTTCAAAACAAACAAAAATACTCAAACAAAAATTAAAAAACAACAAGTAAATCACATTTGTAAGTAAAATTAAAAAATCACAACAAGAATAAAAGTAAATCACATTTGTAAGTAAAATTAAAAAATTCCACGCTGTGGGAAATGCGCCGTAGGCTAAATAGCAACCACAAGTTATATCTGAATTTTCCAGAAAGCGAGCATGCAAGCACTTTATTGGACTGAGCGCGTGTTCTTTCAAGGTCAATAAGTTATTTAAGGTCAATCAACAATTAACTGAAAAAGTATTAACAAGCGTAATAACCCAAATAAAGCAACTTTTAAAAAATCTTGCTAGCCGCAAGGGGCACAGAGACGAAGCAGCGCTTCGCAAACACTAGCGAAAAAAAAAACGAAAAAAAGCAGCTCTATAAAGTGGATAAAGAAAATTTAGAGATAACTTTGGCTGCGCGACGGATTCGAACCACCGACCTCAAAATATGAAACTCACCCCTTCCCACTCTGCAACGGAAGCTAACCGAACAACAGACACTAGCCACAAATAAAGCAGAGAATAGATGCTATGAAATTTCCGATGCTACAACTTGATGCTTAATCAATCGGCTCGCAGACGGCAATGAATCTTTGAATGGTTCCAAAAAAATTGTAGGTTGAACTGGGCCACAAGTATGAAAATATGATAGGTAAGTGCAAGAAAAATAATGAAAGATGCATGCCGCACATTTTGTGAAAAACTTCAAAAATACAAGTAAAAGAACGCCCACCATGTTTTCGAAGATTTTAAGGCCACAGAAAGTTTTTTCAGGGACCCATCTGACTTTGAGGGAACCAACTATTACACTTGTTTTCTCAGCAAACCATTCAAACTATGTAAATTTAGTACCCTAAAAAAGTACACTTTAAAAAACGCCATATCATAGTTTTTAAATCTAAGAATATTGAAAAAATTGAAGTGTCAATTTTGATAAGTTTGTGAAATCTAAGTTTTTTGAACACTTACGAAAAATTACAATAACGAGCAAAACTCGCCAAATAAATCCATTTGGTTATTCATACTTGGAGGTCAATTTCGCAACCCCTGGGAAAACCCTGACAGCACCCCATCATAGAGTTGCTAAAATCAACTTTTGTGAAGTTTTTGAAATCTTTTGATAACTTTTCAGAAAATCATAAGACGTCAAATCTTGAGAGATAAAAAAAATTGGACAGACATACTTGGAAGCATGGTTTACAATCCCAGAAAAAACCTTCGCAGCACCCCAGCATAGGGTTGCTAATCTCAATTTTTGTGAAATTTTTTTGAATCTAAACTTTTTGAAAATTGTTAAGAAAATCAAAGAAAATGTAAAATTTCGAAAGCAAAAACAATTTGAGTAGTCATTATTTGAGGCATGATTTGCAAACCTATATAGTACCATGGCAACAACCCACCATAGGGTTGCTAATTTCACTTTTTGCGAATTTTTACTTATGGAATTTTTTGAAGTTTTTTTAATAAACCATAAAAAACGTAAAATCTCGGAAGATAAAAATATTAGAGCAAACATATTTGAGGCAAGGTTTGCATCTTTTAAAAATACCCTGACCGCACCCACCATCATCATAGCGTTGCTAAGTTCAAGTTTGGGGAAACTTTTCAAATCCAAATATTTTTTAAAAATTTTAAAATAATCATAAAACGTCATATCAAGCAAACTAAAAGAATTTGAGCGGACATATTTGGAAGCAAGATTTGCAAAATCTTAAACTCTCTGACAAGACCCCCAACAAACGGCAGCTAATTACAATTTATGTGAGATTATCTTAGATTTTCAGAAATTTTTTCAAAAAAATCATTCAACACAAAGGCGAAGTTGGACTTCCAACACACAAGCAAAAATATGACCGATAAAGATACTGGGAAAAACTGAATGATTAAAACTTTGAGTCTACAAAATTTCTCAAATGACGCACGCCAATTATGAGTCTACATAAAAGCCAAGCGCCGCAAGCCAATTCTGACGCATTAGCAGTACCAGTCAATTTGAAAAAAAAAAGAAATTTACCAACTAAGATGCCTTTATTTATAGAGCGGAAGTATTTTAACTAGTATACAAAAAAGTTAATTTAAAAAATCCGACCTTGCCCAGGTTTTAACCATTTTATTTTGTTGCGGGTCTCCTTCCCTCCCTTTACGCTACAGATCCATGATACCTTGAAGCTAAAGTGCTATTTGTAATATAATAGTCTGTGTTAATATCCTTAGCTTCGGATGTAATTAATAGCTGGTAATTGATCAAAATGAACACTTTCAAAATGAACACATTCTGTCGGAACATTACTTGCGTAGCAACAACATTTGCGACTTAGGTCGGAAAAAAAGAGTTCATACTATCACACAAGCTTTGCTTGTGTAAAAACGTAATATCTCGGAAGCTAAAACGATAAAAGCATTCATTTTTTTGCAGGCAAGACTAAAAAAACCTGACAGCATCATTGGGATTTATTGAAAGCTTGGTGAAAATTTTAAAATCTTTAAAAAATTTTTAAAAAAACGATAAAAAACGTCATATCTCAGAAGCTGAAAGGATTTGAGCCGACATATTTGGAAGCAGCCCCTGAAAGTATCCTAACAGTAGCCTAATACAAGTTTGGACATTTCAAACTTTGGCGTTTGTAATTCAAGTCCCGAAATTGAAGACGTTTCTCAAGATTTCAAGACAATGTGTCTAGATATTTGACCTTGACTTAAATAAAAATCAAGTTGATGCTTATCCAGATTTCGAACTGAAAAAACAACTTCTGGATTATTCATAATTTTCGCTTAAACGTTTTCCCCACCGCCTTTCGTTAACCATTTTCCTAGCAAAATCGCTCAAACATGGCGTCATCGAGTTTTTGGCGTTGCGTTTAAGTAATAGAATAGAAGTACCACCAAATTGAGTTCTTTCTTTGCGAGTTAGGTTGGAAATAAAAAAGTGGGTTCATACTAATAAAATATGGTCGCAAGCTCGCAAGTGTAATAAACCGACACTCAATATCGCTATACAAACGATGAAGAGTGTTTATAACTTGCCTGCTAGAAGCCACGGACACTTGAGCACACTCTTCTTTATCAGGTCACTCTCTCCTGTCATGGAACTCTCGTCTATCTTGAGGTCGTTGCACTGTAGAATCAGTCCATCGGCCGGTACCTGGTCTCCATACTTTACATGTACTGAAAAAACAAACCTTCAATGTAGTAAATGAAAAATAAAACGCATATGCGGAGACAATGAATATCTTGAATGCTGTGTTAACTCTTTGAGTTGAAAAAAAACTCTCCGTGTCAAAATTCATAGAAATTGAGTTTCAGGTGGCTAATCAGCCTTTAGGCAGATGAACTTTCTGAGCCGAAAACAATGCTTCTAACTAATTGGCATCGGCTACACCAACTCGGTCGCAAAATCTGTTCACTGCTTTCGTATCTTCGATTACAAGCAAAAACCAAGCATCTTCAATTTTTGCCGTACTAAACATTTGATTGCTTGCGTTGTATTTTTAATAGCCAAGACACAATGTGATCGATACGGTATGCAAGCAAAAACAACAATAGCAACTGACCTATATCTCCGACTAGGATGTCAGTGACGTTGAGTGGGTTGATGTCTCCGTCCCTGAGGGCGTCCACGTGCTGTTCTTTGGATATGCGCTCCTGAAGGCCTCTGAACTTGCGCTCTTTGGACCAGTCGTTGCCCGCAGTCACCAGCACCACAATGCCCACTGCCATCATGATGGCCAGCGCCTCCACATACTCCACGTACTTCTTGGACGTATCTACACAAAATTAACACAGAAAAATCAAAGTGAACTTTTCAATTAATCTATTTGAATAGTGAATTTCTTCCTCGGCAAGTGAAGCTTATAAGCAGTCCAGCTACAAATCCCTTCACACAATCAACTCAAATAAAGGCCTAGAATTTTGCTATGCGATTTTTCTACTTCCATGACAGTTTGTCTTCCACCAGCAAAAAACGCCAATATGTTCAGAAAAGGAACTACAGGTTGTTGCAAAATGTAATTTGAATTCCGTTTTTGAAAAAATTGGCCTTTTCTTTGCAAAATGATCGCAGCTGCGCCCTGTTCTATAAATTTTCAAAAAGCTGAGCCATTATTGAACGAAACTGTACAAAAATATATTCGTTCAACAATTTCTTAGTACATCCTTCAATAAACCACAATATATTCAACAAGTCTCAAGAGCATTATGTAAAATTTGAATTGTTAAATAAATCTTAGGACAACATGATTGTAATATCCTAAAATTGCTTAAATCGATAGATTTTCAAAAGGTGTTGACATTTGACCAGCTAAACATGAAAGCCACGCTTGATTCCCTCGAGAGAAAAATAACTCCCTAGTTTTAAAAAGTCATAGAGCAACATGCTTTTAGAGGTGGTAACTTCAAAGCCAAAGGCTATCTTTCACTTCATTGCTTAGCTTTCTACTTGAATTGATTTGGCTGTTAGAGTAACTTTGAACAGTGCGCTTACACCATCAACTGCTGAGCACACAATCAACCCAAGAGGCTTTCTGATAAGTGTGATCAGACGATAGCTCAATTTGCTTAAGAGATACTCAATCCGAACAAATATTTAATTAAACGCTAAATTAAAAAATGTCTGCGATAGACTCTCGACTTTACTGCTATTGTGCAAAAATTATTCATAATACTATGGCTTCTTTGAGACCTAATTGCTCAATATTATTACAATTTAAGAGAGAAAAAAACATAGCTAACAGAAAGTTGGGATGAGCCAATGAACGCAAGAAAATCAGACTATTGACTAATTTTCAAACGCATTTTCGAAAAAATATGCATGAATTTTAGAGGTTTTATGTTTGAAGCCTTTTTCATTTAAACATAACCCAATTTGAGAAAACTGGATCCATAGAACACGGGTTTCTTATACCGCTGGTTTTTTAGATAGCTTAATTTGCATTTAATTTACCAAACTTGAAATAGCCGACTGACAGTTGGAAAAGAGTAATACATACAAGGAACAGAAAAAAATGTAACTTATTGTTTGACCAAAGACCAAGACCTATCTAAGCATCTTCAATACGTTCATTACTTTTAACAAGAAATCAAAAGTCTAAAAACAACAAATAGACATAAACAAGGATAGCCGTTTGCTGCGCTGATAGCACAGAATGTTCCGACCATAACCTTTAAAAACACATTTTTTTGCAAATTAGTGTGCCCATAAATTCAAAAAACTGCTTATTTGCAAGCATTATAGACTTCGCAACTGCTTTACAGACTTCTGCTTTATTATACTTTTAAGTCGAAAGAACAATTTTTCTGAAACAGCTAAGAAAAAGCTGTACTTTTGAAAAAATCATTTCACCTCAGCGAATATAAAAAAAGTTTGCAGGACTCATTTTGAAACTTTCACAATCAGTCGAATCAAATTTTCAATTCAGTTATCAAAGAAAATCCAATCATCTGTTTTGAAGGAGGGAAGTGAAAAAATAAATCAAAACTCACCCAAAAAAAATTGATAATTAAAGATCAAAAAGAACCTCTAAAACGCTTCCAAATCTTCAAGAAATCATTTATCAAAAACTAATCAGAAAAATTTAAACTCCAAAAAACTCCACCAAATGCTTTTTCGTGACTGAAAATGGAGACAATAAAACTGTGTTACGTTCAAAAAACCTGTCCAAAAACGTGTCCAAAAACTCACCAGGAAACTTTCCGCACAATTTTGAAAATCAAAATTACGGTAAACCCATGAAGACCACTTCCGTTGTCACAAAATTAGACAAAAAAGGAAGAACAAAATTGAAGAACAAATAGAAACTTCAAAAGGCTTTCAATCAAAATATTTCTAACAATTCACAAGAGAATTCGCGAAAAACCTACAAAATTTCTGGTGAGCTATGAATTCAAATCAATTACATCACTTTTAGCCAGCAAATTTACACATAATTAAAAAAAACACAAAGTACAATGCTAAAAATAAAAAAGGATGCTGACTACAGAAAAATAAAAACAAACTTCATCTTTTCAATAAAAATAAACCAGAAAGTTTTGTTACAGATCAACACATGGCTTGATAAAACGCTGGTTGCATGGATTGATGATAAAGCCAAGATGTATTGAAGGTTGCATTGAGAGAGGATGGATGGTCGGATGAAGGGATTCATGGCTGGCTGAAAAGACGGATGGCTTGATGATAGACGAATGGATGCAAGGCACGCTGATTGGATTGATGGGCAATGGATGGCAACATAGATTGCTGGTTGGATGGAGGATGTTTAGCTAGAAAGATAGCTAACGAAATATATGGATGGACAGATGCATGGATTAATGGCTGGCTGGATAGTTGTAAGAACGGCTCGCTGGATGGTTGAATGATTGGCTTGATCGATTGCTGGATCAATGGATGAATGACTGGATGAATTGACACTTGGGAGAACATATGAAAGGATGATGGTTTCATCGACGATTGGATGGATGACGGATGAACCTTTCGATGGATGAGTAGATGGCTGGATGAATCGGTATATGGGTACCTGAAGAGATGGATGGCTCGATAGATAATTGAGGGATAGATAATGGGTGGCTGGATTTATACTTTGCTTGCTGGTTGGATGGATGGATGTAAAAGGCTTAATGCAAGGGTGGCTGAACGGATAAGGGGTGGTTATTTGCCGAGAGGCTGGATGGATGGTTGTATAGATGGCTCGATGGATGGATAAATGGACAAAGAGATGCTGGATGGATAATTGAAGGACAGAAAACAGATGACTTGAGGGTAGGAAGGATGGATGACGGCTTGATTTATTGTTAGTTAGATCGATGAACGGACGATGGATGGCTAGATAGATGAATGAACGAATAAACAAAAGAACGGGTAAAAGGATACTGGTTTAGATGGCTGGACGATTAGATGGATGGCTAGATGGATAAACGTCTGGCTGATTGGATGTTTAGTTGGATAAATGAATAATTAGCTGGATGGACCCCCACCCGCTTGCGTTGCGCTGCCCTGCCTCGCCCTTCCCTCTCGTTGTCCTACCTTACGCCGCCATACACTCCTGTCCTCTTTGCTCTGCCTTGCCTTGCCTTGAGCTGTCTTGCTTTGCGTTGCCTTATACTGCTTTACCCCTTGCAGTGCGCCGTCCTGCGCCGCCATACCCTGCCCTGCACCTCCTCACCCCGCACTGCGTTGTCTCTTGTTGCCCTGATCTGCCTAAACTTGCGCTGCTCGGTCATGCCATAATCTCCCCTACCCTGCCCCTCTTCGCCTGCCCTGCTGTCATACCCATGCGCTGCCATACTCTGCCTTTTTGCGCGCTGCCCTGCCTTGTCAGTTTTCGCCTGCCATGCCTTGCGCTGCCCTACCCAGGTTTTGCTCCTCCTCGCCTTGCCCTTCCTTCCTTGATCTGCTTTACCCATCATGGCCATGCCCTGCCTGGATTTACGCTGCCCTGCACTGCCTTGCCCTCCTTGACCTGCCCTGCCTTGCATTGTGCTGCCTTGCCCTGCCTTGTCCCTCTTGGCCCTACTCTGCCTCGCGCTGCCCTACCTTGTTGTCCATTTTCGCTCTACTCTTTCGGCCCTATGCTGCCCTACCTTACATTGACTCCTCGCCCTGCCCTGCCTTGCCTTGCCTGGCACTCCCTACCCTTCCATGCCCATACTCGTCATGCTTTATATCACACTTCCTCGCCTTTTTTCTCTCTGCCCTGCCTTGCACTGCTCTACACAGGCTTTGCCCCTTCTCACCCTGCGCTGTCAAGTCAAGCCTTGCCACTCCTCGCCCTGCCTTGCGATACCCTACCATACCCCTCCTCAACCTGTCTTGTCTTGCGCTGCCCTACTCTGCCGCTCCTCGCCCTGCACAGCCGCTCCTGCCCTGCCTTGCTTCTCAAGCACTGCAATTTATGATACAGCTTAAACTTGCAAAACTTCGTTCGTTTCTGGAAACTGAAACATAGCCATTCGAAGATTGGAATAGAGTAATGAACGCAAGTCAACATAAACAAATACTGACTTTCTTGAAAAATTTTCAACTTTAGAAGTTCAAAGAAAAAAACAGATGCTTTTTAAGCTCTTTGAATTTCTAGAACAATTTATGATCGGTGCTTTTTTGATATCATGAACCCAATTTGAGAAAACTGGATCAATAGGTAAAGTTTTTACTCCGCAGGGCAACCTTACAAAAAATTCCACTTTGGAAACTAGAAATCGTTCACGTTTTTTCGCGCCATTTCCACGTTCGTATTTGGATAGTGCTATTTACGTCACTTTCAGCAGATGAATTTGAATTGAACTCAAAAAGTGCATTTTAACTAACTGCATCAACATTTTAGGACTTCTTCCTGAAAAAAAAAACGAAAAAAATCAGCAAGACCTATATAAGAGTCTTCACTACGTTCATTATTCCTAAACATGAGACATATGGTATAACTTAAGCATAATCAGATAAACAGACGCATTTAGATATATAATAGATTTTGTAAAGCATGATATAAATCTTACTGAAAATTGACACACCTCAAACTTTCGTTCCTAAGAGAGATATCAGCTTTTAATCTGCGTCCACCATCCTACCACAAATTTTTTATATTCTAGATGAACCAGCCATCATGATCTATATATTTTTTTTAAACCTAAGTTACAACTTGAAAATCGGCCTTGTATTATTCCAGTACAAGTAAATTTACAAGCCCATCAATAAAAGCATGCGTTCTATTTATATCGACGTAATAAAACACCATGAATCACACCACAAAAAAATGTCCAAAATTTCGCCGTAAAACCA